CCCCCCCCCCCCCCCCCCCCCCCCCCCCCCCCCCCCCCCCCCCCCCCCCCCCCCCCCCCCCCCCCCCCCCCCAAGACATGAAAACGTCCAAGCCGGTAATACACCCTCTTTTTCTTTCGCAAACGCAGATCTATCCCCCCGCGCATCCTCCCGGTAACAAAAAAGGAATCTTCGCGAGGATTGCCAAGAACGGTTCGGCGTAAGAATAAAGTCATCTTTTTCTTGGGGAGAGGGTTAAAAGAAGTTTTCGGCTTCCTCGTGGGGAAAAAGAATCATCGTACGTTATGCCACGTTTGCGGAAATGCGTCGTTCGGTTGGGGCTTTCCTCCGGCCTTGGGCGTCCTGTCCCGTCACACTTCGAATCTGATTAAAGAAGTCGTATGCAGCCACGAAAGTGAGAGAGGCGGTGGTGGTGGCTTGTTCCTGCCGCAGCCTAAGGTACCTTACCTAGGCTTGCTGATGGTTCATGCATGCAAGATAGGCTCACGAGTTCCACACACAAAGCGGGTTGAATGCAGCGAAGTGAACATGATCGAACTTTTCTATTTTGTTCTCAAGCACAAGGGCAATGTGTTTGCAGATCCTCGTGGATATTTGTCTTTTTTATGGTGAAAAGGAAGGTCATTAGACTACATGGGCTTCGTTCATATAGGCATCAAAATTGCCAAAGTCGTAAAAAGTAAAAAGTAGAAGAGGGGGGCGGGAGGGGAGGGTTGGGATGTTGTCATGGGTTAGGTAGACAAAGGAGGGTATGATAACGAAGTGAAAGGATGGTGAAGAAGGAAGAAGAAAACGGCACCAGAAATAAAACCATTGCTCACCCACTGCCCCCAACCGCGCGTGATCATGGTTGAGCAAGCATTACACACAAAAAGATCAGGATGCCGGATTCGTGGAAGAAAGGAAGTTGTGAGTCAAGAAAGGAAAGATGAACAAGAAAAATAAAGAGTCATCAGTCATAACCAAATCCCTCCCCCCAACAATCGTCCGTGTTAGACTTTGCCGGCAAGGTAGAGGATGTTTTCCCTGACCGCATCCGTCAGGTCTCCTTGTCCGGTGTAGACGTAGGCGACGGTGCTGGGCCAGACCTCGGGATGGGGTAGCGGCAGGTCGATAACGTCGCCCGCGGTGATGTGGCCGGAGACGATGAGGGCGGCCAATACCGGCAGAGAGGATCTGGCATATTGAAGATCTGGCGGTTGGGGTTAGCTTTAGTTCTTTTTCTCTTCTGTTGCGTTTTGTTGGCAGGGCTTGGCTCTTTGGCCTCGGGAAGGGAGGACCCCGACTTTTCCCAAAGAGCTCAAGTTGCCGCAAACGGGAGGGGATTGGATAAAGCTGGGTGAGACATCGAGGACGCTACTTACGGATCGGCATGGTGGACGCGCCACGCGACGGGGCCCGCGATGACTCGGACTTGATGCCGCGGCTGTATGGCAGAGGGCTGTGTGCGCTGTGCGCGGCGCTGCTGGATCTCCTCCGCGCCATGCTCGGCCGGGGAGAGGCGACCTTGGGCAACGGGGAGCCCGCGAGGGAGGGGCGGCGGCGCTGGTCAGCCCCCGGCGAGCTCGGGAGCGGGTCCGGGACCGTGGAACGCAGCTGCTCGATGTCGAATGTGCGCTGGATGAGGAACGGTTTGCGTTCCAGGGCGCGGGGCCGCACGCGGGCTCGGATCGCGGTCTGGTGGGAGGGGATCGTGGGCGTTGTCGGCATGCGTGTCGGAGAGGAGTCGCCGGCCGAGTTGTCCGAGTTGGTGCTGGCGTTGGAATCCCTGCGGAGCGAAACGGCCTGGACGAAGACGTCCGATGTCTTTGCGTCGCCGAGGTAGACGTGGCCCCAGGCGCGCAGCTGCTCTTGGTGGTGACGCTTCTCGGCGTCCTTGGACCTGGCGATAAAGTTGGCGTTGGGGACGGACTGGCGGCGCTTCGCTTCTTCGCCGAGGCCGGCGAGGAGCATTGACCGGTTTTCGGCGGCGAGGGTCTGGCGGCGGTTGCCGCCGCTCCTGGGCATCGGCATCGGCATCGACGGTGAGACCGGTGTGACAGGGGGAGGCGGCAGGCCAGGGCTGATCTGGGCGGCAGAGTACCGTCTGCCATCGGGAACGGAGATGGAAAGCTCCGCGAGGGGAGATAGAGGGCTCGGGCGAGAGGCGGACTTTCGCGGGCTGAGGTCGGGCCGTTGTTGTTGACGAAGTCTCTGCCCTAGACGGTCGACCATGGCACGCTCGTGTTGTCTCATGGATCCATCGTTTGACGGGAATACCGGGGTTGGCAGGCTCTTGGGAGAGCGGTCAGATTGGCTGAAGTAGGAAGCGTTCGCAGGGCGGCCCGATGAGCGAGGGAAGCCGCCGAGATTGTATTGTGAAGTCCACAGCGGATGGAGGCTGGGACGATGAGGGCTGTCAATCGGAGTGGCCATGGCTGGTTGTCGTAGTGATATAATGATCGTATTGATGCTGAATAACCGCACAAGCTTCTGTTTGATACCAGGTGGGCGGAGGGGTTAAATCAAATTTGCGGTAACAATGAATGGACCCAAAGATCGGAATGTGCAACCGGTTGTAGGGCAGTAATGGAGGCTAGAGTCTGTAGCCCGATAAGGATTCTCAAGGGAGGACGGCTTTCTTATGTCTGTGGGGGGTGGGAGGGACACGAAGGGAATTAATATCTAGACTGATCGACTACCTCTTTGGTCATCTGTCTGTTGGCCTGCCTTCTTTCTTCAGGCAGTACGAAAGTAAGAAAAGTACTTTCTCTTACGCCAACTGCCGGGGACGGGAAATGAAAGGATTGGTAAGGCCTTTCTCTCAAAGGACACGCCCAAAAGGACCCCAACCTTGATGATACGAAGCAAGAGAGACATACTGACAGAGACCGGGACAGAGAGACAGGACAGGACGGCAGGCAAAGAGAGGGCGTGCAAAGAGAACGGCCAGAGCTCCCGGCCGCAAAAGCCAAAGGCCCCAGCTTCCCACTGCCACACCTTCTTTGGAGGTGGAGGGGAAGGCTTAGTGCGTGTGGTTCTTGTCCTTGACAGGCGTTCGGTGGGAGTGTAATTGGAAAGGGAAAATGCAGTCGTCAACTCTCTCATGCGACAATGGGCGGTTGCGGACGACGACCTTGAACCATGTCGCCGCACGCGAGAGAACAAAGGAGAAGAGCTAGGCGGCGTGTGGGTTGTCGTAGCAAACCTCTCCAGGGTTTTTGTTGGCCTGCTTGGTATGTACTTTGGTATGTGGTTCTCCAAGGTTGGGCTCGGGGTTGGGAGGAGGCTTTGCGACTTGGATTTCTGCATCTGTCCGCAGGGGGGGAGAGAACAAAGAAAAGATGGCTTGTCTGGGCCTTGATTCGTCATGTTTCTGGTAGAGCGCACTCTCGCCTATCGTGTTGGGCTTTTCCCATCACCTTGATGAAAAGAAGAGAGGACGAAGAAGAGATGAGTGCTTCTGGTCGGGCTTTGACAGATGCGGACACGTTGATTATTCTCTCCGACCTCTTTTTTTGTTGCGTCCGGGGTCGCCAGCGGCGCGTAGCTAATAAGAGGGTAAAAAAAAAAGAAGGACTCGCGATGGCCGACCAACATCAAGGCCACGGCCGAGGCCACGACGAACGACGACCTTGTCGACCTTGTCAAAGCTGGCGGGGTGCACTTGCACCTGTCATCGGCGCCAAGAGTTGGCGTGGCCGTATCCGAATCCGTCAGGTAAGCTCGTAGCTCTCGTTCGCAAATAGCTGTCTTCAGTCGACCGGAGAGGGACCGATGAAGTGACAAGTGTGGGAGATCGGCGTGGAGAGTTCGGGAGAGCACACCAGCAACGGTGTTGGTTCATTGAGAATTGAGAGTCGGTCTCGGGTGCCCGGTCTCGAAAGTCGCAATGTGTGTGTGCCATGTCTCGGCTGGGTTCGTCCATGATGGCAAAATGAGGAAAACGGCCTGACAAGTCCATGAGCGTGGGCAGGCAGCAGCATGGGCCGGCAATGGATTTTCTGACCGATATTCCTGGCAAACCGACGGCGTGGCTTTGTGAAGGTTGAATGATTCTTGTCTTGTCTGAGAAAACAGAGCGGGGGTTGAGACACCAAGTAGGCAATGTCTCCGTCGTTGATCTGACGTTTTTGCCTCCCCGGGAGGTGTTGGTCAGCTTTAGGCGTTTCTTCTTACCCTCCTGCGACTCCCACCGGAGCTGGGAAATGAAGTCTCGTTTTTTCTTTCTTTGATCGGAGGATGAAGACGGAGGGATTCTCAGCTTCAGGTAAAGCTTTCCAGACGAAAGTCCCGTTTCTCCCGTAGGTATGGACCTCAGCGCCCCCCGTGCCTCCGAAGCCACGCCGGAGTGGGCCCGCACCGTGTCTTCATCCGAAGCCCCTCATTGGGCCGAACCGGAAGCTTGCTGACGGTGCTGGCAGCTGGGGAGACCCTTGAAAATGACCAATCTCATAGGTAGCTGCCACCTGAGAAATTGAGAATGACACTGGAGCTGGAGCATCAACGTGGGAGGGAGCTTGGACCACCGCGCTTTTCGATGGCTTTCCGCCCAACTTCGTGACGTTGCACTTGGACACATCGTCAACTTTGTCCCACACAGCGTCGACAGCCCACCAAACCCTTCAACTGTCCTTTTTCGGGGGCCTCGGCCAAAGAAGACAGATCGACAGATATGCCAAAGGCCTTATAGCGTAACCTGTTTTTTTTCTTCCTTCTTGTCGGCCGGGAAGAAAAACTCTCCTTGTTCCGCTTCAAAGAATACCTGGCGATCATCCCAACCGTCCGCAAACATGTCCGCCGCAACGGCCGAAAGCTACAAGAAGCTCAAGGAGGATTTTGTATCCAACCTCTCCGGTGGTCTCGTCAGCGAGGTCAACTACGTGACCGCTGTCGCACCCGTGCGTCGTCCCTCCCACCGTTCCTCTTCCCCGGCCACCCTCCCAACACACGCGCGCGCAAATATCAGAACAAAGACATAGCTAACCTGCATCCTCCAGGTCGCAGTCCTTCTTTGGTCTGTCCTCCAATCCCGCCAATCCTTCTTCAAACCCTACACGCCTCTGTCCGCAGTGGTCGACTACTTCCTCAACGTCACCGCCATCCTTCTCTCGACAACCCTCTACGCCTCCTCCCCCCTGCTCCTCAACCTCCTCCTCCTCGCTCCGGCCGTCCTCGTCTACGCCTTCCCGCCTAACACGCGGCGCAAGAAGCCCGCCGTTCCACCAAATGCAAAGTCTCAGGCGGCCGGAGAGGACTCGCTCTCCGTGCTCTCGGTCAAGCCCTTCCTGACGCACTACCGCGGCAGCATGATGGTCGTCACCTGCATCGCCATCTTGGCCGTCGACTTCCGCCTGTTCCCGCGCCGCTTCGCAAAGGTCGAGACCTGGGGCACCTCGCTGATGGACATGGGCGTCGGATCGTTCGTATACAGCGCCGGTGTCATCGCCGCGCGCCCCGTCCTCAAGGAGCGCGCCTCCGGCCGGACCACCCCGCTGGCGACCCGCCTGCTCTCCTCGATGCGCCACTCGCTACCGTTGCTCGTCCTGGGCGTCATCCGCCTGCTCAGCGTCAAAGGTCTGGACTACGCCGAGCACGTTACCGAGTACGGCGTCCATTGGAACTTCTTCTTCACCCTCGGCCTGCTCCCGCCCTTCGTCGCCTTGTTCCAATCCGCCTTGAAGATTGTGCCGAGCTACGCCGCCCTGGCGATTATCTTGGGTGTCATGTACCAGGTTGTCCTCGAGAGCACGAACCTGAAGTCATACATCTTGACTGCGCCGAGGACAGACTTGATTTCAAAGAACCGGGAGGGTATCTTCAGCTTCATCGGCTACCTGGCCATCTTCTTGGCGGGACAGGACACGGGCATGTATATACTGCCCCGAAGCGTCAACCCAAAGAGCGACTCGACGCCGGCGACGCAACGCAGGACTCTCATCATGATGATGGCCATCTGGTCTGCAGCGTGGGCGGGCCTGTACTTCTTGAGCACGAGCTACAGTTGGGGTGCCGGTCTCAGCGTGTCGCGCCGGATTGCGAATCTGCCCTACATCCTCTGGACGGCAGCCTTCAACTCGACCCAGATTCTTGCATACTGCGTTGTCGACACCATCTTCTTCCCCTCATTCTATAACGCCACCGACGCGAGGGCAGAGAAGGAAGCGTACGAGACAGCGACAAGCAGGGTGTTCCGCGCTTACAACCGTAATGGCCTCTTCCTGTTCCTCATTGCCAACCTCTTAACCGGATTGGTCAACATAACGGTGCCCACGCTGGACGTTGGGCCGCTTCCGACCATGGGCATCTTGGTCGCGTACAGCGCAGCTCTCACTGGTCTTGCGTTGAGTCTGGACGCATACGACATATCTATAAAACTGTAGGGAGCCTGAGAACCACCTGTATAAAGTGAGAAAGCGAGCCCGAAAGAAGGCGTCTCCAATTGCATCCCCAGAATCTTGTCTTCGTGAATGCCATGCTCTTTGATGTTCGAGGTGGTGCACCAGTCTCTTGCGTTCATCTCCGGACGTACTCGAACATCAGCTCATGTTGAGAGTCGCGGGTTGGACACGGCTCCCGCGTTCAATCATGGTGCAGGTACGGATACCCCGGTTGACTGGGCTTAGTACTTTCAACAACCAGCCCGACAACTCCGGCGTGAGGGAATGCCGGAACGAAGCAGGTGACCACCCGCAGCTGTGATGGTGCACACCGAATTCTACCGAACAGCCATACCCGTTGACTCTGACACCTGCTTGAACTTTCGATGGCAGAATCGACCGCGAGAGTTGAAAGCCCATCCGGCACCGAGCAGCGTTGTCTCCTGAAAGAACGCCCTGAGCCCCTTGCGTTGCGGTCACCTTGGCCAACCCGCTCAGTTCTGTCAGACCAATCCACTCCGTCGGGTTTGGAATCTTTCTAGAAAACAAGGCAAGCAGACAGAAGAGCCTGGCCAGGTCCCCGGTTTGTCACGTCCCGCTGTCGGACACCCCGTTGGGCATCTACCGTGTTAGTGCTGAACGGCAGGAATGCGACGACTGCGCGTGTGTTGGGTGTTGGTGGCTCGGAGAAGATCCCGACTTGTGACAAGAGTTTGCCAGTTGACCGGGGTCGTCCCTGGGGGAAGCTTGAACTTGGCGGCGCCGGCTTTGAAGTTGAAGTTGGACAGCGGCCAATTTTTCGACGGGCGGGGTGGGTAAGACGCGTCGCGCTTTCGAGATATTATGGAAATGTGTGAGTGGGATCGACGATGGAGTTGTTGCGATGGGGCAGCATGAACAAGGTCATTTTGATCCGTTCTGAGGCGTATGCGATCCTAAGCCGCGAGGTCTCGACAACCGCCGAATGAAGTTCTCTTCAACTGGATCTTTATAACCGCTTAGTTATTATTTCAAGCAACGATTTTGTACACATCGCCTCGATCGGTTGATGAACAAAGTTGTAGCTGACTGTAGCGTATAATGTCACCAGCCACACGTGCTTGCACCAAGTGCCGACTTTGGCTGGACTTCCGCGGGGAGTTTCTCGATGGGGCAGCTCGCCTGTCTATAGAACTGGCCCAACTGGGTGGTTGGTGACAATCAGACTGGACTCGCCGAGGGGACTTGAACCATTCAAAAAGCCTCCTTGAAGCTCCATCAGCATGTTTCTCAACACCTGGCCGAGGATCTTAAGACAGCCCCAGATGCGACCATGGATCAGGAACATGGCTGGCACATTGTCGTCGATTGGCAGGTTCAACCGGAGGGTCCTGGTTGCAATAGCTGTGTTGAACTTGCGATTGCCATCTTGATTTGAGCCCTGCGCCGAGCAGGCAGACCCCCGTCCCAAGCCGTGCGCCTCATCTCCGGCATCAATGCTTGATGGATTGCTGGCCAAAATTCGTGGCCTAGCTGCCGGCACAAGAACTTGAGGAGCCGAATTTCCAAAATATCAGTTCGCTCTCAAGACTGATAGTTCACGTGCCGAGGTGCAGGTCGAAACTCTTTTCTCCCCCTCCTCTTGCTGTACGGACAGCAGTTGACAAGCTGGATCTTGCCAACTTCAGATTCACCCCACCCCCTTCGGATCAAGTCAGGGTGGGAATCGGTTCCCATGTTCTGAATACGAACATGAAGTCGTCGGGAAACACCAGGTCTTACATAAGATGAGAAACGTCCCGCACGCATGCTAGCCACTTTTGATTGCTGTGTTTTCCTCCAGGATCTGCGGATTTGAGACAAGCGAATATTAAGGTGCAACGGAGCCAGACGGGACCTGCAGAACGGGAGCTCGTCCGTGAGGTGAGGGTGGGCACATGGGTACGTATCGGGCACTCTGTACGAGGAGGTCGAATTGCGAGAGGATGAGACAAGGGAGAGAAGGCTAGCAGGATGTCAGGATGCCGAGATCTTAGTATGCGAGGTACGGATAGCCAGAGGGGGAAAGTGTGCTTTGATACGTGCGTACCTTGCCATGCCATGTCTTCGTCGACGGGAGACGGCTTGGTGGGCCACCCGGAGTAATATGATCGTAGAGACACCTTCATTATCGCGAAGGATGTTACGTCAAGGTTTGACGACTTGACGTGTATTTGAACCTCGCCTCATCAATGCGACCGGTAGGTATGGCGCGCACATGGCGTAACACATGGCAGACAAGACGGGCGCGGCGACGGCGACGGCGACATCTAAATGGATGTGTGGAGGTTGGAATTGCTTGACGAAATGCGACATGCGCATACATGCGCGATGCATCGTTTGGCGACCAAGGGAAAGTCGGCCGTCCGGTCTCGTAGACATTGGCGGGCGACCACTAAGGCTCTCGAGAGTAATTTGGATAGATGCGTCCTGCCACGTCGATGCAAGGGACCTCGCTGCGGCCTCAAGCGCGTCCGCCATGCGATCCTGTCTTCGCAAAGCCGTGTGGTGAAGTGGCCGGTGGGGGCTCTTCTTGGGTAGCAGTGATGTGAGCTGTTTTCCCATGTGCTTTACTGGCGGGCCACACCACCCCTCATTCAATGACTGTCTGATGAGAAGGGACGGGCTGTCATCGGACGAAATCCAAAAGCTGCGGGCAGCAAGACGCTGACTGACTCTTGACGCTGGACAGTGCTGCGCTGGTGATGACAAGTCAGAGTGACAAGACACCCTGGACCATGTCTACATCCTTGCCCCTGTCGCCTGGATGCCCAGCCCAGTAGCAGGGATTGCAAGAGTTTCGTTTGACAGAGGTCCGCTGGAGACATGCGATTGCAAACTGCGTCTGCATCGCAATGCAGATTGACTTGAAGACGGATCTGAGAGGGCAAGAGGGCATATGCCCATGACCCATTGGCAGCCGTTATGAATGGTGGAAAGCTGCGTGCTGCAGAGATGCTCCGTGAAGGCGTCGGCAATGTGCATGGCATCTCATCTTAGAGCACCGGGCGTCCTGCAGGGTGGATTGGAATTTGCGACGCGATAATGCAGATGGGCGCCCGTTCGACTGCTGGCTTCTCGGTGATGATGGCCCGCGCTTCTCATCTGGCATCCGATCGACACAATTGAAGGCGAGCTCTCGCTTGAGCACGTACTGCCAAGCTAAGGTAGACGGCAGGATGCTTCTCATTCTTCTCTTCGGAGGAGGCTCAGGCCGGGAGAATAGGATGCAGGCAGAGCGACAGGGCGGACGGAGACGGGCGAGCGGGCAGGAGGGCTGCATGATCCGCGATCATCCTTGCTGGAAGGGATTCCATCTGAAAGATTTGGCATGGATTGGGACGAGCATGAAGTTGAATTCCACCGGCGGCTGCAAGTTGGGAGCTTTGGGGGCTTCTCGAACGATGTGGAGTGCGGCGTCAAGGCTTGATGCCAGCTCCATTGACCGAGGGTTGTTCAAGATTGTCTCGATGCCTTTTCCGTAGGCTTCTTTCGCTGGTTGATGCCTTGACGAAGCGGCGTCCGGATTATTAGCAGCTCCAACATCGAGCGAGCTTGGGTAGTTTCTGGCTTTGGTGCCAGCTTGATGCCTGATCCCGATGAGATGGAGCAACCAAGAAGACTAGAGTGAATGGCAGAAATTGGATGACGGGGACCGTGGAACGTGTATGAAGAGATGACGGGAGAGAAATTTTACGAGATACATAGTAAAAGGAAAAAAAAAGTAGAGAAAAAAGAAAATTGAAGGTATTTCGGAAAGGCGAGACATGGATGGCGAGGTACGAATGGCAAGTGCAAGTGCGTCGGCTCCTGCTTTGCTCCTGCTCCTGCGCACCTGCCCGGATATCAGGCGTTCCTTCTCCTGCTGTCGTTTTGTCACTCCCTCCCGTCCTTTCCTTCCCGTCCCGAACGAACGACTTTTCATCTCCATCTTCACCTTCACCTTCTACCTCACCTGCTACCTCATCTGTCCTCGGGCAAGGAACGACTGCCTTCCGCTTCTTTGCTTCGGTGGTGGTTTCTAGTCGACGTCGAATTCCAGTTCCTCCCTTCCAAATATCATTATCCAGTTCGAAACCTCAGCCAAGGCTAGCATTATCCGGCGTCAAATATCAGTGCTAGCGTGAACATTAGCAGCAATATCAGTGCCACCAGCCACACCCACGTTTCGGCTGTCGGGCGACGTACCTTACTCACATCTACCTACGTACGAATACGTCTCGACTTACACCACTCACTCTCTCTTTGCTTGGGCTGAGACCTCAATTGAGACAGCCCCGGTCGAAACCGACTCGACAATTCCTTCCCTGATTGGAAGGCATTCATTGTTCGAATCATTCATTGTTCAGCCTGTCGCGAATCAGACATACAGAGCCCAGCTGCTGTCGAACGCGCCGTACCGAGTCCATCCCGACAGTTACGAATCTCAATCCATTCCATACCAGTCCAGTCCGGCTGCCGCTGCGCTGCATTGACGTCGATAATTTCCATACTCTCGGGCCAACAACACACGCTCAGGCCAAGAACCTGCCTCACGGAACCAAGGAATCGACCTAATCGGGTCCGACGGTCTCAAGGGAGAGAAGAAATCACAACTTCTGTGCTCACCTTCAGACATCTGGGGGTGCTTGGACGGCTACCACCGCCATAATTCAGCGAGACGGCACCGCCTCATTTTCAATTGTCAGTCTGAGCGGCTACAAACAACACTTCGGTCGAGGCGGGAGCTGCTACGAACAGAGCACACGATAGCGACAGATCATCAAGGCCATCGCAGCTGCTTCTCTCCCTCTTTCAGCTGAAGCTCGATCATACCTTGCCTGCCTCCGGATACTCTGCCGAGATTTCGACCGCAACGTCGTCGCCCCAGCCGTCAGCTTCAGCCACTGCCCTCCTGCATTTCTCCTTCCTTTTGCATAGGATTGCAGCAGCAGGACAGCAGTCAATCGCTTGTTGTCCTTCGCAGTTGGCTACCTAAGCGGATATAAGCGAGTATTTGGTACCTGCATCCGCGTCTAGGTGCATGTACCGCAGCTACTCCCTTTATCCCGCTTTTACCCCCTGAGGCCCACGCCCATCTCCGCCTTCACTTCCTTGGGCGGTACTTGCATTGGAAGCCACCCCTGCAAGTACACGATACCGCCCAGGGACTCACTCTCGAGAGACTCTGCCAGCCCGGGTCAACCAGGGCAGCGAGCTTGTCTCCAATCTCTCTGCCTTTCTGCTCTCTCTGGGGCTCCCCGTGCTGTTTCTTGTCGCGCTCCGCGCTGCCTTGTTGCAAATACTGGGCGCCCTGCAACCGGCTCGTCTCAAGGTCTCATCTCGTCAAATTTACTCCAACGAGAACGAGGAGAGTCTGACCGTTCGCTCGCTCGCTCTCCCTCGCAGTCTCCCCTCGTCTAAGCCAAGACAAAGGCCCATTCCCACTCCCGCCAGCGCCAGTCTTCCTCTCGTTTTGGTCTGGTCCCACGTCGCCGACACTCCTCCACATCTCTCTCCCACCGCCTCGCTTCAGGTCGGGCCTTCAACTCACCATCCCACCTGTACGCGGTACAGACAGTACCTCATCATTGTCAGCGTCTCCCGTCGTCTCGTCTTGTTTTTCCGACCGACGTTCCAACCTCACCCCGATAGTCTGCCGCTAGTCTCGAACCCGCGAAGACGACGAAGCGCACCATCGACAGCTTTCAACTTGGACAAAAAGTCAACATCAGGAAAAGGGCCCGCGCGCCCATACCGTTGTTGTCTTATCTCGGGTTTGCGACAGCTCTGCAGCTCCAAAGTCAGACCAGGCGACATCAATTGGCCATCCATAAGCCATCTTCGACAACAACATCAGACCGTCCTCGGCCAAACCCCAGAGCTTGCTCTCCCTCAATCAATTGTTCAACGATTCAGCTTTGGCTGCCTTTCACTCGCTCCCTCCCACTTCCTTCCTGCAGCCCCAAGTGGTCACAGACGGTGTCGAGAGACAAGAGAAATAGGCTCAAAGCCGCACTGCCGCTCACAACAACAGAGTGTGTACGTGCGTGATCGCCCCTTGTCGCGCCTTTTTCCACTGTCGCTGCGTTGACTCGACCCCCAAAGACGATTGTCGTCGACTCAATTCGTCCACCTCAGCTCAAGCTGCAGTAAACAACAAATCGCTGCCCCGGACCAGAAAAACATAAGCGATCCCTTACACCCGCACCATGAAATAGCCAGGGCCTCTTCATTGGTACAGCAGACAGACAACGCAGCCCAAAGGTCCATAATACCCCCAATCGGACTCGACCGTCCCATCCCAATTTTGGTGGCCGACTTAATTCCTGCAGCTCAATTAATTCCTGCGTCCTGAAACCTCCTGCTCAGCGATCGAACTACCGCAGAAGAGCATTACTCACTCTACTCCTTCGCTTCACAATCCTCCCGCGAGCGATTCTTTCTCCCTTGGCTCTTCCATACGCACCAACATCGCAGCCAACTGGTTAGCGACAGCCGCGAAACAAAACACGCCAAAATAGAACGACTGCTCAGTCGAACTCTATTTCTCTCGGCGTCTGTGGTTTGAGCGTTGCAAAAGCATGTCCTCGGCCACACTGCAGCCTGCCCATCAAACACCAGCTTTGGCATCACCGCCTCTAGTCGCAGCCTCACCGAACAGTCGTCAATACACGTCGAACAACACCTCCTCATCCCGCGAGGCGTACAATGCCAATCTGAAGAACACGCCTTCCTCTCCTGCATCTTCACACCGCCCCTCCAGACGACCGAGCGGAACCGGCGCGTCTGTAAACAGTCCGGACCCAGTTTCGCCCATGACGTCCAGAGCTGCCCCCGCCAGTCCCGTTGCCGTCGCGCCTTCCTCCCCAGACTACCAGTCTTCATCCTCGGAACGACGAAAAAACATGCCTCCCGTCGCTCCCCCTCGAACGTCTTCGACGAATTACTCGGGTGCCACCACTACCACTACCTCGAAAAGACGCGATCACACAACAGATAAGGCCGCCTCGTCACCGCGACGCGGTCAACCAGACGGCACCAACGGCAATGCCGATCACACCTACATAGACGACGCTGCTGGCTCACGCAGCAGAAGATCACATCAACAAATGACACCCGACTCACCTCACCGCTCGAGTGGCCGCCCGGGAAGCCAGCCGACGGTCATCCCTGTTCGATCCAGCGCTGCCCCGCAGACGACCGCGTCTCCCAAGCAGCCGACGCGAGAGGGTAGCGAAGTCCTGAACAGAATGGTAGTATCTCAACCAGAGGTTGACTTCGCCCGCGAGAAGGAACGGTTGGCAGAGGCCCAACCTCAGCGTGCTGCTTCCTCCCACGATGACGCCGCACCACCCCCCATCGGTATGTCCGAGCACGACGACGGCAGACGGGGAGGCAGAAGTAGGCACGACCATTCTGGGAAGCGCGACAAGGTCATCAAATTTGGCGATTACATCCTGGGAAACACCATTGGCGAGGGCGAGTTCGGAAAAGTCAAGCTTGGCTGGAAGCAAGATGGCGGTGTACAAGTAAGTTGTGGACTCGATCACAATGCCGAGTCTATGCTAACAAAATGTGATCCAGGTCGCCATCAAATTGATCAAGCGAGACAGTGTTGGCAACAACCCCTCTAGACTGGCCAAGATCTATCGCGAGATTGCCATTTTGAGAGGCATCTCTCATCCCAACATCGTTCGCCTCCACGAGATGGTGGAGACCGAGAGACACATCGGCATCATTCTCGAGTACGCCTCTGGGGGTGAGCTGTTTGACTACATCTTGAATCATCGCTACCTCAAAGACAATGCCGCGCGTAGACTTTTCGCGCAGCTCATCTCCGGTGTCGGGTACTTGCACAAGAAGGGCATCGTGCACCGAGATCTCAAGTTGGAAAACCTGCTTCTGGACCGGAATCGCAACATCATTATTACCGATTTCGGCTTTGCGAACACGTTCGATGCGGACGAAGAACTTTCCGAGGATGAGGAGCTGAACCTCGGCGACCGCGAGTTTGTCAAGAAATTGGGACTCGACAGAATCAAGACCAATGGCACAAGAAAAGGCGACCTGATGCAAACGAGCTGCGGTAGTCCTTGCTACGCTGCTCCTGAACTTGTTGTCAGCGACTCACTCTACACCGGCCGCAAGGTTGACGTCTGGAGTTGCGGTGTCATCTTGGTAAGTTCATCTTCGCAAAAGCGAGTCCCCTTCATAAAGCTGACAAGAAACCAGTACGCCATGTTGGCAGGCTACCTTCCCTTCGACGACGATCCAGCGAACCCTGAAGGTGACAACATCAACCTTCTGTACAAGTACATCGTCAATACCCCTCTTACATTCCCCGAATATGTTACCCCCCACGCTCGAGACCTTCTCAGACGAATCCTTGTCCCCAACCCCAGAAAACGAGCGGATCTTTTTGAAGTGGCTCGGCACAGCTGGCTGAGCGAATACGCCCATGTTGTGGAATTTATTACGAGCAGTACCACGACGCCTAACCAGATCCAGAACACCACAGTGCCCTCTGAGGAGGCAGAGGCACCTGGTATCGCACGCAGTGCCTCCGTTCGCGAATCGTCCAAGACGAAGGCCAACACGCCAACTTCAGTGGGAGGGCTTGCCAGCAAGCATGCAAAGATCGACGCCGACGCAGAGGCAGCAGCTGTTGCGAAGCAGCAAAGAGACAACAAGCGCCGTACGGTCCAGGTCGAGTATGTCGCGCCAACGACGCAGACACAAAGAGGAGAGACTTCGGCAGGAAGCAAATCACGGGCACGCCCGAGCAGCCAGGGTCCTGTGGAGATTGCCGAAGAGCAGGCCGTCGCAGAGAAGCCTCTTCCGAGAGACCCCCCTGTCTCAAGAGATTCCTACAGGTCCAGCAGACAAGGAACCCGCCCACCGAGCGCACACCGAAACCCCGCAGCCCCGGCACCGACAAGACCGACTCGCGATACTCGTGCGACCTCCGACAATGCATTTGTCTCCTCAGCCTCGAACCCCGCCCCCGCCCCCGCGGCAAGACCTCAGACCGGAGGCTCAATTGCATCAGGCTCCATGGGGCTGGGAGCTGGTGCTCGTGGATCGTACGGCCAACCAATCCCCCCGGCCGTCGCAGGTACTAATGCTCAGGGAAGGATACAACAACCCAGCACCCAAGACGCTCAAGCTGTTGGACGGCCCAGCGCCGGTGTACCGGCCAAGTTCGCCAAAGTTGCTGGATTCCCAGAACAGCAGCCCCCGCAGAGTCAGACGCCGTCTCAGTCGAGCGACGGCAGAGGCCACGGGCACAAGCGATCAAATACTATCGGTGACCTTGGATCGAAACTGCTTGGGCGAAACGGGTCTATTTTCGGTGGTAAGAACCGCAGCAAAAGGCCTGATTCGCAAAGCGCAAGTCGGAAATACCCTCCAGTCAGCATGCCTAACAACATGCCGGTTGAGGGCCAGCCACGTCCTTCGATAGACTCAAGGGCATCCAGGCGGTCTTTCTCCCTGGGTCTCGGAAAGAAGCGGAGCGGTAGCATCGCTGGCTCTCAAACTTCTCACGAGAAGCCCAACAGGCGCTTTTCCCTCATCCCGCCATCGTTCTCCCTGAAAGCTATCGGCCTCGGCAGAGACTACGACCCACCACCCTCCGAGCCTCAGTCTCAACCCGATCTTCCCATTCAAGATCCTCCTGAGGTCGATGAGCATGGTCGTTACGTGGATCAGCGGGGTCAGTCTCGTGGATACGATGGAGGATACGATCAGGGTTACCGCCAGCCCGGTTCTAATTCCGCACCGCAGCTGCAACAGCGTCAGGGCTGGCAAGAGCCACAGGGTCAGCAGCAGCAGCAATACATGGGCCCAATTGGGCAACCAAGCGCTGTCCCAGGCTACATGCAGCAAGGCGCGCACTTGAACACCGGATCTGAGTCGTCCTTCGAGACTGCTCAGCAGCGAAGACAGTCTGGTGTTCCCTACCAGGCAGGCGGCTACGCCGATTCCGACGGCTACGAAGCGGGTCAATACAGTGGCAGAGGCAATGGTCGATCAGGCGTGCTGCAGAAGAATAAGAGATTCACGGACGCCTACAACCAAGACCAGTACCACGGCCACCAGGGCAGCAGTGGCGCGGCCAAGCGAGTTATGGACTTCTTCCGAAGGCGTGGCAAGGCGAGAGGCGGCGAGGAGAGATAGAGGACTCTCGATGATCTCGATTGCTCGCTATTCGTTGATTATGGCTCGCGACCACTGTGCGGTGCTCGGTCATCTCAGATGAGTCTCTCACCAACACGGCGGATCAAACGCTGAGAAGGGGGGGCAACGGTGTCCTCCAGTTCTCTATTCTACAATTTTCGAGTTTTTAATGTGTGAATACCAAGCCCAAGTGGACGCGGTGGGTCGCTTGGCACCATTGTCAGATGTTCATGTTGTCTTAATCGCCTACTGCATTGCAGGCGAACCGGCATAGAAGGGCGGGAGGAGTTTCTTTCGTGGTTCTCTCTTCACGTAATAGGGAAGTTTTGTGGTTATTTTTTGCGTCAACCGACGAGGGGTCACGGGAAAGGGTCTTCTTTTTTTTCGGTACAGACGGATTGGTGGTTTTTCTTCCTCGACAAGGGAATGATTGCTGTCGTTGGTTCAACTCGTCGTTTTCCTCTTAATTCAAAGGCATCACAGCGGCAATGTTCTCGATTGCCCGCTGACGGCGGCAGGCAAAGGCGTACGGTAACACAAGAAGAAGAGAAGCCAGGCCAAGAGCAGTTTGGTCGAGTTGGCGTGTATCGTGTAGCAGCGAGGTAGAAAGACGCTCAAAACTCGTTTGGGTTGTTGTTTTCGTGTAGGGCGTGTAGGGTTGTTGAAAGCATATTGAGTGCGAATATCGAATGGCCCCCAATGAATGACCCGACCGACCCCAAGGGACCCCTTATGAGCCTTGTGGGACATGTCTTGCGAGAAGTGAAGTCATACCGTAAGCCGTGAAGAGAAGTCGAACCGCCCAACTACTCGTCCGTCTGGTCGAGCTCATCCATCGGATCAACCTGCTGGGGGGTTAATGACGGGATGATCCGCCACGGGGCTTGGCGCAGTCGCCGTGATGTTTCTTGGCGGAATGATGTGATGCGCATGCGTATTGTTCTGTCTCTCACCGGTCGTCCGGATTGTTGTCCCTGCTTCGTGCTTTGCCCCAACATCTCGGACCAGTCAGAAGCCTTGGCAGGTTTGCACGGATGGCAATTCCAGTTGCGTCGCCTCCACACACGTCGGGTGCCACCCGAAGCTGTGGCTGGGATGTCTTGTACGTGGCGCAGCTGTAGTGGACGTGGACTCGGGCCTGCGATTTCTGTTTCCCCTTTTTGACGTCACTCTCGGCACGTGTCGTCCGGCTTGGAAATTTGGGGGATTGCTATTGGACCCGGGCCTCGAGATATCGGGACCTAGATTTGAGAGGTACCTTACACTAAGGTATGGGCGGGTACCACTCCGTAGATTGATTACCTTATTTCCTTCCCCCCTGCTGGGTAATAAGTATCCCGGGGATGGCAGACAGGTCACGGGTCACGATGTGTGTGTGTGTTTTGGGCGGTGACGCGTCTGTGGTCTTGCAAATCTCTTGCAGTGTTTTCCTTCTGGTTTGATGTTACGATGGAAACGTGAATTAGGTTGTGGGGATGTAAAAAGGCAATGGGGGCCGTTTTGCTTATCCCATATGTCAATGCCTCTGGCGCGATTTAGAGTTGCAGAGAGGGCGTTGTCTTCGTTGTCGGGTTCGGCAGACGTTAAAGCAAGAAAGTGTGGCAGGAGGAGGAGGCGGGAGAGCCGCCAAACAAGGTACTGTGCTAGAAGCTCAGCCAGAGAGGTTCGTCGACCGGCGAGGTCTGATCAGAAGGAGAAGTTGTTCCGTGCACCTGACGGAGGAGAAGCAGGGCCTGTCACTTGTTTGTTCTGGGTTTTGGGTTTTTTGGGATATGGGAATGGTGGAAATGGGTGTCATGACTCTGCAGAGTTGCGTATGAGGTGCAAATAGCCGGGCGGGTACCTACCCCATTGCTCTCGTTCGCGTAGAGATTCCGCCGTGAGCATGCTCTGCATCTACTGTATCGAATCTGTGAGTAGAGAGGCAGACAGACATGTTCTGTCTCTGGTTCGCTGTAAATCATACACGGAAGAGGTGATGGCAGCCGGGTAAATGCGAGGGTGATCCCTTGATAGGGCATTCGCGCATTATTGGGGAGAAGGGTTGCGTAAGCTGTGTTAGTGTTGATTATGGACTTGTCTGCCGGCTTTGTTGGCTTTGTCTCGCCAGCTGCGAGCTGGACACACCGAGGACAGAGGCATTGTGTGAGGAAAAGCAAAGGCGCGAAACGGAAACGAGGAGAGGTGGAACCGGGACTCGAGAGAGGACCGTACGTTGCGTGTCTTTCGGTCCATGTTTCGAGATTTCCCGATTCTGAGAAATGCGTCCATCATCTGGAGTCGCTGTTCTTGGCGCACGTTGCGACTTGAGTCGGAGAAAAGGCCGCGCGAGGTGCTCGCTGGGCGGGCGAGCTTGAGCTTCTGCTGCTTTTTGGTGTTGTTTCTTGTCTGGAGTCCTTTTTCTCCAACCGTTGTTTCCGACTGATGATGGTTTAAGCTCAGCTCGGCCACGGCTTGGCTTCCGTCCGGTGGGAAAAGGTGTCGGTTTGTTGCGAGAGGGACGACGGGCTCGGACATGATGGGGTTTCTGGTTCTTGGGACGGTGGGTGTCAATGTGGCGTAGATTTGATTCCTTACGCGGCAGAGAAGACACCAGCTTCGTTCTCACGACGGAAGGAAAGGGAAAGAATCTAGCCCTCTCTTCCCCCTTGGAGAGTGACCCGTCGGACGGTCGGACGGTCGGTCTTTGGGATATTGAGACGGAGCGAAGGAGGGGATCGCGGATTAGACTACCGCAGCTGCGGCAGTACGACTGTGAGGCTCAGCTGCACAGTCCGGGCGGAGCGGGCGGAGTGCACAGCAATCAGCTGGGAGAGAGGGATGGAGCTTGGAGAGACGTGGATGCATGGATTGAAGGGAGGTATCCCACTTTCCGCAGTCCGGAGTTCACTTCTGGATGGTTGCTTATTAGCGTCAGCGGTCATTCGTAGGGGGATCCACTATGACTCTCTTTCTAACCCTTTGTTGAGATAGAGGCTGAGATGGCAGTCGATGGCGAAATGGGGACGTTGAGGCGAACGCCAGCGGTGCCAAGAGGCCTCCGTGGTCCGTCGTTCAGTCGAGCAGAGCGGCCCCGGATGGTGCGGTGATGTGTCTGCCCTTCATCGTGTAGCGGGTTGATGTGAAGTGATATCATGGTTGTGAGTTGGATTCTGGATTTGGATTCTCGATGGTGATGATGCTATCTTGCTGGGGTTCAGTGACTGTGACAGCATGTACCGCAGATGAGGTGGCACTCAAACCAATGGGAATGCAGGTCCTACACCTGGGATATGGAAGGTACGTACCGCATGTTCCATGGCGAAAGCTTGGTGCAACGCCCTGCGGTCCAGAACTCCCAAGACGTGCAACAGAGAACCGGAGCTCTCTCCACTTGGGTGTTGTTCCTCCAGACATCGATATGTCATCAGGAGGGAGTCCCGGTTTATTGTGATGCGGAAATGCACATCAGGGTCGTCAGGCATGCGATCGGAGGTCGGAGTATCCAGTTCTCTGAGAAAGTGATGGTATTGGCACATTGAAAATAGAAGCAGTGATGATGGAGGCGGAGGAACAGACAGAAACGAAACGGCTTAGTGGACAATCAAAGATGGAGCACGTAGGTACCTGGACGCGCCACCGGTGAAGTGCCTCAGGCAGGTGACCACCAATCTCTTACTGAATCTGGCACTGAACTTGGGCGGTTCATCCACTAGAACGTTTCGACGCTAGCGATTGGTCCTTCGGTCTTGCCAGTGACCGACAGGGGCTCCCTGACGGACGAAAATGGCCCATGTTCGGCGAGGGAGGGACCTGACCTGGTGCACCCCGTTGAAAGAAAGAGGACCTTGATTTTACCTCTCGCCCTAAGGAATGCTTTAGCTCTTGCGTATCAGCGCCGACATAAGTATCTTTTCCGTTGTTTTTGTATGTGACGATACTTGGACGCCCTTCACCTTCCTTCCTGCAGCTGGCGGCCGGTACACTTCCGCGCGCCCACACCCGTCCCAAGGTGAAGGGAAAGGGAAGGTGCGTCTGCCGCTGTCTGGGACGTGGACGTGGAAGTACCATAGTAGAAGTGGACGTGGACGTTGCCTCTACCTCATGCCCCATCGCATCCGAGTTGCTTAAAGCCTCCCTCGTTTCTCACGTCTGACCGCACTCTCGTTTGGCTTGTTCTTCCTCTTTCTCGCTCTTCCCCCCCAATTCGAAGCTTGTCTTCAATCCTGGTTGCGTCCCTTCTTCTTTCACCCAAAATCCTTTGTGTGCTTCAACACCAACCTTTCTCATCTTACCCCAAATCTTGACATCTCCGCCGAGACACGAGTGTCCGGTCATCAATTTCGATGAAGAAAGCCTCTACAGAACCCCCAAATATAGACACCAGACGCTCAGCGACCACGCATGGCGTCCGTCGCAGCTCCTCCAAGCGATCCGAAGCTGGCATCACGCTAGACGAACCTGAACCTTTCTCCCTCTCAAATACCAGCACTTCCACCGCCAACAGCAACAATGGCCGTGCCGACGACATCATCACCTCTTCCAACATCACCAGCTCTACCGCTAGCAAAAACTTCCTCCCCGATGACGCAGCCGAGAAGAAGCCCGTCTCCAACGGCAATGCCAAGTCATCTACGCAGGCTCAGAGGAAGGGGCCTCTCCTAGGAAGTCGTGATGGTACTCAGAACAACAATAACCCCGAACAGCAGCAGCAGCAGCAGCCGCCGCCGCAAACCCCGCAGGAGAAGCCCAGTGTGGTCACCCGTTTCTTCGAGACGTGTAAGATGATCATGTTCCACAGCTGGGTGAACCTCCTGCTCGTCTTCGTGCCCGTCGGCATCATCGTCAAGGGCCTCCACGTCAACCCGGGCATCGTCTTCGCCATGAACGCCATTGCCATTGTCCCACTCGCCGGTCTTCTCAGTCACGCTACTGAGTCTGTGGCCAGTAAGCTCGGTGACACCGTCGGCGCCCTCCTGAACGTGACCTTTGGTAACGCCGTGGAGTTGATTATTTTGTAAGTCCCCTACTCCATTCTTGTTTTCAACCGTCCAAACACATCGTTCGGTGTGGTTCCTCCTCGCACCATTACTTGGTGTGTTTTGGAAGGACGGACAGAGGTGAGGGGACCACAAGTTCCGACGTGTTTTGGCACGGCTTGGCTTTGTCTTGGCCGTGTCGCACCCCGGATCTTGGCCCTTAGTCACCCTCGAAAATCCTCACTCTCCATCTCTTGGCGTAAGACTTGGCTAATGCTTATTTCTCTCTAGCATGTATGTTTCTGCCCCTCTGCGGGTGATCAAGACAAGAAAGACAAGAGAAGTCGAAAAAGACACTATCACATCAATCAAGTCCCAAATCATGCAGTTCTTTTCTCACCTGAGTCCCACCGTTCGTCATCATGAGTTTGTATTGCAGTGTCACTGACATCGTTATTTTTTTGTGACGCTTCAGTATCGCACTTGCCAAGGTAAGCTCAGACCCATACCACACCCCCAGGATTTTGAACTAATGTGAGAATAGAATGAAATCCGTATCGTCCAGGCGTCGCTCCTTGGCTCGATTTTGGCCAACTTGTTGCTCATTTTGGGCATGTCTTTCTTCCTCGGTGGATTGCGTTACCGAGAGCAGGTGAGATCTTCGCTGGGCACGAATTGACCATCAAATCTAACGCAATTCCAGATTTACAATAGCACCGTCACGCAGATGAGTGCTTGTCTGCTCAGTCTGAGTGTCATCAGTCTGGTTCTGCCCGTGCGTATCTTACCATGCCGTCCTCGCACACAGAAGCTGACCAATCATGTTAGACCGCCTTCCATGCTTCTTTCAAAACTCTCAAAGATGCCGACGATCAGACTCTGAAGATCAGCCGTGGTACCAGTGTGGTAAGTCGCAAAGCCCGATTGAGTGAACCAAGCTAATTCCGGACAGATCCTTCTCCTGGTTTACATCATTTACCTGCTGTTCCAGTTGAAGTCACATGCGTACATGTACGAGTCTACTCCTCAGCACATCGTCGATGCGGAGTCTGCTCCTGGCCCGGCCGTCGGCTGGTTGGAGACGTCCAGTTCCGAGAGCGATTCAGACTCGGACACGGACTCGGACAGCTCCGACAGCTCAGGCGGTACTGTTCGGCAGAGGATGAAGAAGGTCCTGCGCGGTGGCAGGAGACGCAAGTCCAGTGTGGCCTCCGTCGACATTGAGGGTCGCCCTAGGACCCGCAGCACTTCCGCAGGCACTCACAGCACCAGAGGCTCACCAAGTCGCCCTCGCCTTCCTCGCTTCGGCTCAAGTGTTGGTAGTGAGGAGGCTATGGAGGACGAGAAGCCTCGCAAGCACCGCAAGTACCGCAAGCGCCACCACAAGCACAAGAAGGCCAAGAAGAACTCGCGCAAGAACCTCGTCGACGTCGATGAGCCCACCGCCAACGAGCGCTCTGAGGCTACCTTCCAGAATGGCGAGCCTCGCCGTGTCGACTTTGCCCAGCAGGATCCGGAGGCCATCGAGGGCGCTTCCGAGCTTCCCCAAACCCAGAATGACCGCAGACCTTTGCCTGCCCTCCGCGGCTTGTCGATCAAGAACTTCGCCCCTGCCGTCTTCACTCAGCCTCCCGGCTCTCCGGCCATTGGTCCCGCCGCCGCTGGTCCTGTTCCTCGCGTCCGCTTCGGTATTCGCCGCACCAACTCCCTGCCCGACCGCCTCAACCAATACGGAGCAAACGCCACCAGACCCCCGGGTGCCCTGTTCCCTGCTCAGATCTCGAGAAATGTGGTTCACAGCAGCGATGGTACGGAAGAGAAGGTCATCCCCAACGATCACTTGTCTCGCACTGCCGCTGTCCTCCTGCTGTTGTTCTCCACTGGTCTCGTCGCCGTCTGCGCCGAATTTCTTGTCGACTCCATCAATGAGGTTGTGGCTACCAGTCCTCTGGGCGAGGTCTTCATTGGTCTCATCATTCTCCCCATCGTCGGCAATGCCGCAGAGCACGTCACTGCCATCACGGTTGCCATGAAGAACAAGATGGACTTGGCCATCGGTGTCGCCGTCGGTAGCTCCATCCAGATCGCGCTCTTCATCACTCCCATCGTCGTCATCATTGGCTGGGCGTTGGGCAGGGACATGTCGCTGTACTTCACCCTCTTCGAGACGGTCTGTCTTTTCGTCTCGGCCTTCATCGTCAACTTTTTGGTTCTCGACGGCAGGAGTAACTACCTTGAGGGTGCTCTCCTGTGCGCGACGTACGTCATCATCGCCTTGGTGGCGTTCTTCTACCCCAACTCGGACGAGGTCAACACTCTGGGTGCATGAGTGAAAACGTTGTAGGATACGTGTCAGCGAGGCTGAGTTGTTGGTGAGGGCAGCTTATGACTTTCATGATGCTTTATGACTTTACTTTCTTCTAGTTGTCGACATCACTTGAAGTCGATGACTATCTTTTTACAAGGGGATGATTAGGATTGGGGATTATTTTTCACATGATCAAATTTGTAACAATTTATCAAGTTAGACGGCAGTAAATAATGGCGACCAGGTCCGTTGTTCTCGTTGTAGGACGACGAAAGCCAGTCGCTTGATGCCGAATACATTTTCAACAAAAATGGGGTCTTACTGCACGTTGGCTTATCGCGTCTTGTGTGTCATCAACCCTCTCGACAGATTATGAACACTGGATAAATGTGATGCACTGACGACGCATACATTTGATATCTGATTTCGAAGTCGAACAGACTCAGGTGCCATAGTCCCTATGCGGTTGATCTTAGGTCATTCTGCGTTTGCAGTGAAGGCATTGATTGTGTTGGATCACGTTCACGATCCTGGCCCACCAGGTAAGCTTAAGTTTTAGCTGCGCCGCAAGTTCCCCCACCCCTGTTCCGCCCGGTGGTGCTGTGTAGTCGACTTTGATGGCTACCCTTTAGGTAGGCGGCGGTGGCTGGGTGTCTTTGTCCTAACTGAAAGGGTCGTGGTAGACCGTTTGCTTCGTGGTAATGTTTTGAAACGCCCCATCGTGCCAGAACTTGCGAACATGCGTTTTGTTTTATTTGGGCACCTAACTAAAGGAAAACGACGTCTTCATCGCGTTTCAATGGAATGATTGTGAATGGCCAGTGGCAATGCAAGGAAACATGTTGGGTGACGTGCTGCTGTCTTCTTCTTCTTTTTCTGCGGGGAGCTGCTGCCCGGGCTGCAGCGCCCTGCGGCGGGGGTCGCTCAGCTGCATACAAAAGTGGACCCTCCTGCCTGAAGCGGACAGCTTCCATCGTTGGACCTTTTCGGTCCATGGCTTACTCCCAAGAAATCCTCCCCAACACAGCCACCTTTCACTTGGCCCATATCAACTTCAATCGCCCACGTCATTTGTCGCTTTCCATCTCCATCATCACCATCGTTATCATTCGACCAAACTCGCAAGGCGGAAAGTGCACTTCTCAACCACCGGCATCCCAGAGCCTTCGCGATACCCAACCCAATCAATCCCAGCGTTTCAGATCTCGAAAGCTGCAGCTCAAGCTCGGGCTCTATTTCAACGTCAAGGCGTCGCCACCACATTCCAGGTGTAGGTGTGTGTGTGTGTTGTTTCCGCAAGCATCCGACACACGAGACGAACACCGCATAATCCATAACCCGGGAACAATCTGGACCATCTCCCACAAAACTCTCTTTGGCTGCCCTCCCTTTGCGTTCAAGATGTGTTTCGGCAGCAAAGCCGACAGGGATGATGCGCCTGCACCTCGCCCAGCGCAACGTCCTCCATCCGCACAACAGCAACAGCACCAGCACCAGCAGGACATCAAAATGAGCAGCGGCGGCAATCAGCAGTACGCCCCTCCGGCTGGGCCCCCGCCCGGTCAGGCTTCCGGTGAGACATATGCGCCTCCGAGCGGCCCGCCTCCGAGTCATTCGTACGCTCCCCCGAGTGGACCGCCGCCGGGCCGGAGTGATGGCGACTTTGCACCTCCGTCGGGGCCGCCGCCTAGTCAATCGTACGCTGCACCGCCCGGTCCGCCTCCCTCTCACGGCGACTACGCACCTCCTTCTGGCCCTCCGCCCGCTGGGCCGCCTCCTTCCCATCAACAGGGCGACTATGCAGCACCGCCCGGCCCTCCGCCGTCCCATCAGGACTACACCGCGCCGCCACCTGGTCCTCCGCCGTCGCAGTCGAAGCCGAAGCATGACTGGGAGGTCGCCGTCCCCGACACATCTCTGTTTCCCCCGCCGCCCGCTTTCTTCAGCGGCTGGGACCGGTCGCCCGCCAACAACTCCACGGAGAAGGAGGCCGAGGCGGGCGAGAAATGGGTCAGGACGTACCCTCTCGTCGAGCCCATCCACCTCGATTCCGCAGCCTTGCAAGCCCTTCAGGCGAATCGTATCTCTCTGTTGCAACCTCAAGATTTCCGCGGATCCCTCAACCAAGTCGCCCCCGGCGTCTGGGAAGCCTCGACGCCGAAGAACGCCCCTGATGGCACCATCATCGGCTACCCGCCCCTGTACTCCGTGAGGAATCACTCGCCACTGGCCACCGGGCGGAAGTTCACGGCCTACTACGAGGTTCAGATCCGTGAGAGCGGCAACAAAGAGATCGACGTCGCTCTCGGTTTCACGGCGCTGCCGTACCCCAACTTCAGGCTTCCCGGATGGCACCGAGGCAGTCTCGCGATCCACGGTGATGATGGGCACAAGTACATCAACGACAGGTGGGGCGGCAAGTCCTTTACCACTCCTTTCCGCGCTGGCGAGAGGCTCGGTGTTGGCATGATGTTCGCAGCCAAGGACGGCAGAGTCACTGTTGACGTCTTCTTCACCCGCGATGGCAGGGTCTCGGGAAGCTGGAACTTGCACGAGGAAATCGACTTGGAGCAGGATGGCCCGGTTGACGGGTTGGAGGGTTTCCATGACTTGAGTTGCGCGATTGGTTCTTTCAACAGGAATATCTACGAGGTCATCTTTGACCCGAGTCGGTGGAAGTATCAGCCTTGAGAGAATGACTTGGTTTCAGGATCGACAACAATGGGACGCACCAGTGTGAGCGTTCAACAACCCGATACGTTATTTTATTAGTACAAAATGGATCCGGATTTCATTGAATGATTATATCTTGGCCTTTACATCTTTCTCCGTCCACCACGGATACGCGCTCGGCGCATCCTTCTCCATCGTCCCCGTGAACTTGGGCGCCCGCTTCTGCATGAAACTATCCATCCCCTCTTTACTATCCTTCCCGTTAAACAAGTCAAAGAAGATCTTACTCTCAAGCAAGTGCGCCTCCTCCGGAGAATCAGGCGTCCGCAGAATCATATCCCGCATCACCCTCACGGCAACGGTGCTCGTGTTCGCGGCGACGTCCTCCGCGATCGCCAGCGCCCGCGGGAGAACCTCCCCCGGCTGCACGATCTCGCTGAACAGCCCCCGGAGAAGCGGGTCCGTGGCCGGGTACACGGCGCCCGTGGTGACCAGGTGCAGCGCGGGCCCGGCGCCGATCAGCCGCGGCAGGTAGAACGACGAGCAGGCCTCCATGTTGAAGCCGCGGCGCGCAAACACAAACCCGATCCGGGCGGAGTTGGACACCACGCGCACGCTGGCGGGCAGGGTCATGGTGATGCCGACGCCGACGGCGGAGCCGTTGATGGCGGCGATGATGGGCTTGGAGCAGTTGTGCATGGCGAGCGAGACGACGCCGCCGGTGTCGCGGTGGGCGTCGCGGGCGGCCGGGAGGCGGACGGGGGAGGTGAGGTCCATGCCGGCGCAGAAGGTCTTGTTGGCGGGGTCGGAGCCGGTGAGGACGACGGCCTTGACGCGGGGGTCGCGGGAGAGGAGGGCGTAGGCGGAGGCGAGGGAGTGGGCCATCTCGTCGGTGAAGGCGTTGCGGGCGTGCGGGCGGTTGAGGGTGAGGATGATGACGGGGGTCGGGGAGGGGGAGGAGGGGGGGTGGTGGGAGAGGGAGAGGTGGGGGATTTGGAGGGTCGCGTAGGATTTTGGGAGGTCTGACATTTTTTGGACTTTGGATTTGGTGATTGTCTTGAGATGAGTTTGAGTGAGGATGAGGCCTTGGATTGTGATGTTGATATCTGTACTGAAGAGGTTGAGGTAGAGTTGGAGATGGAGGGGTTCAGCGCTTACAACCGGATACCGAGGTCCGGCATGGGTGTCGCTGCTGCTGTCGACGTCAGTTGTGAACTCTGCCAAGCTTGCGACGAGGTATGGATATCTGATAGATTACTGATCTGCACTTCTTCGGTTGAACAAACGACGTCGTAATTTCTGGTAGATGTTGCCTTTGGAATAGCTTTAGTGACAGTTGGGTGTAATTCGGTAAGCCAGCTTCACCGAAAGCTCACCGAAAATAGAGAAACAGTGTCCGGTACAGTGCCAAAGACCCTCGGCACGGTGAATTACGGCTGACTCAACCGACCAATTGCGCAATTTCTCGCCGCCCCTTCCCTGGACCCCCAAGACGCATCCTCATGATTGATGCCTACGAATGTGCCCGTTGACACGACAAGACTATGGGCTATGACTGGGACGCGCACGAGAAGCTATGTTTCCAGCTGTACATCAACGAGAAGAGGTCCCTCGAGGACATAATGGAGTACCTCAAAGTCCATCATGACTTTCGCCCCTGGTGAGTTCGCTTTGCGTTTCTGCACTTTGGGAGTGCGTTTCTCGCCGGCCGGACCATCCGGTCCACAACCACCAACCGTCGAGTTTCCGGATTTGGCAGGCAGGAAATCCGGGGTAATTCGACAATTCGACCAGGGGACTGTTCAACTGACGCTATTACACAGCAAACGGGCCTTTCAGACGCAGTTCCGCAAGTGGGATTTCCCCTCGAAACGGAACCCCGCGCACAAGAATGGGAGGCTCGTCGCGCGGGTCAAGGAGCTGTGGGAGCGGAATCTCTCGCAGAGGGACATGTTGACGGTCCTGAACCAGGATGGGTTCGATATCAAGAAGAGGGAGCTGGTGAGGGTCAGGACTATGAACGGGTGGCTCATGAAAGCTGCCAACGGGGAGCGGATGAGGGAGAATGAGAACGAGTCGAGGCCCGGGATGGACCCGTTGAGTGATTTCGCTGGGCGGAATGACGACGCTCAGATGGCGGGCGGTGCCAATGACATGACTGAAATTCTTGGGGAGATGCCTGACGAGGATGCCGCGGCCTGGGATGGCGAGAAGAATAGGCGGAAGAGGAGAAGATTGAAGGCTTGGGAGAGCACATCGCAGGACGTGCCGGTTGCGCCGCGGTTCCCGTCCGAGACAACGCTCGACGAGGCCAAGGCTATCCTCGACCTGTCCAACGATGTCTATCGACAAGTCCGGGCCACATTCTCACGGATTTGTGAAGAGTCGGGCATCAGCAAAAAGTCAATCGCCGGTCCCGACAAGTGGGAAGCCGCTAAGGATCGGCTGGTCAGGGAGATGCCGCAGCTCCGGGACGTCATGTCCCAGTCTGAGGAGGATCACAAGTCCAAGAAGCTGGCGCTTGATGTCATTTGTGCAGACATTACGAAGCGGGCGCGCACGCTCGATAAGCGCGTCACTCTTGCGGAGATCAAGACGATACTCGGCGTGAATCCGGAGGAGACGAGGGAGATGCGATCTACGTTTGAACAGATCGCAAGAGAAGCCGGGCTGGGCTCGAAATCAGAAGCCGGGCCGGAGCGGTGGAGTGTTCTCATAGAGAGGTGGCAGGACAGTTCGCCGCTTGTTCAGCGTGTTCTTGCTCATGGGCCAGCAGCCCCCGGTTATGCTGAGAAGGAGCGGGCTCTGGATGTCCTCGCTCGCGACGTCATGAAGAGGTTGCGGGATGAAGTGTCCAGGAAGGACAAGCCGAGCAAAGGAGGCTCTGTCAAAGCTAAGCAGCCTGCCACCAGCTTTGAGCCTCAGCAAGAAACTGTGCTGGCCCCGACTACCCAACCAGAAATGATTGAGGACATCCAGGGTAACCACGGTTTGGTCAACCAATATGGCAACGCCGGCCAGGTCTCGTCCTTGGGCATGGTCCCAAGCTCTGGGGACAGCCAGACGCAGATGCTCATCCCAGTGCCCATGCAATCCCAAGCCCCCGACCACCTCGGCCACTCTGCCGCGCGCATCCTCTCAAACGCCCTCCTCGGCCAGACCAACATGGGACTCGACTCCCACCTCGGGTCCTCCCTCCTGATGTCCGCCAACGCCCAAGCGGCCTTCGTGAGCCAGCAGTACGCGCAGCAGTTCACGGCCTCGCAGCCCATCTACCACGCACCGCCGCCGCCAGCACCCACGGCCGTCGTGGCCATCTACCTCCGCCTCCACCCATCGTCAACGTTCGTGGTGAACGCCAACCTCTGGATCGCGACGCTGGGCTCGCACTCGATGCAGGAGCTACGGCATGTGGCAGCCAGCAAGTTCCCAGGTGCCCTCTGTCTAAGGGTCGAGGGTGTGATCAAGGACGGCAAGGGCGGGGAGATGCCTTTGCAGATCGACCAGGACCCGGAGCTGGCTGCGTACTTGGCGCATCTGCAGGGTGCGACGCCGGTTTTCAACGTCCAGCTCGTTCCGGGGTGGAAGACTGCTTGACGGGTGTTCCGAATGAAGGCTTTCTGGGAAGCACGAATCAAGAGATATTTGGTAATGTAACGATAATTATAACGCGCTCGACGGGTCTAGAATATGCTCACGCGAGCCTCATGCCGGTTTCTGGGGGAAAGGCTCCCGGGAAAACGCGGGGTAGTTGACGATAACGAATTCCATGCGCTACTGCATGAGCAAAAGTCAATGCCTCTCGCCTTCTCTTTCGATGTGTGCATAGTGGCGCCCTGGATGTCCTCCAATTTGTCGACCTCACCTCGGGTTTAGAAGGCGGGCGGAAGGAAAAGGTGGAAGCCACGGCAAAATGTGGAGTTGCGCCGGTCGCGGTGCACCCGACCGTGGCTTCCCCGCTTCCGGGCCGGCCAATCCTTATCTCCGATAAGCCTGGCAGGGGCGGGGGGTCCTGACTGCCCGTTGCTGCAGGCTTTGACATGGATTCCATTTCGCAATCCAAGCTCCAAAAGATCTAAGACGGCTGCGACTCCACCACCTACAAATAATCTCCAACACACCCAAGGGCATCGTGAACCCTTCCCCCTCACACCTGGACCCTAGACCTCTGAACCCGGATGGCACGTACCTCGCATATATATCTCCTCAATTGACGAAAATCCTATTCGAATCACACACCGATACCACCCGTAACCTCCGACTCCAACAGCCCAGCGCAATGGCGCATATCAGAGCTCGAGCTCCCCAGGCAGCTCTGCAGGGCCTCAGAGCCGCGAACTCGGCCCCGCGCAGACAATGCCTCGCCCTCACCTCCCGGCACATGTCGAGCAAACCCGACAGATCGAACGAAGAAAGGACAGGTCGAACATTCCAGGGCCAGGTCGTCGGCAGCATCACCCAAAGATTGGCGCGCGAGCGTGCAGAACGCGAAAGGTTCGCTCTTGAGCGCGAAAAGACGTCTGGTGGCAGGAACTACGCCTTCACCTTTGGTGAGTATCCACGTGTTCTGTGGCTTTCTGGTTCTGGCTGCATGTGGTCGTCGAACGGTAGCTGATACGTCTTCACTGGCAGTACTACTCACATCCATTGGTCTCTCGTATTACCTCGGCACCCTCGTCCCGTCAAGCCCCGAAGAAGAGTCGACCCTCCCGCTGCACAAGACGATCGCGCCGGTGCACAAACTTAACAAGGAGAACCTCGAGGCTGCATGGGCCGACTTCGTCAGCGTCGTCGGCAAGGAGAATGTCAGCACTACGAGTACCGACATCGAGCACCACGCCAGCTCCGAGTGGTCGTCGCACTCCGCCGGTCCTAACGAGAGGCCGTTCTGTGTCGTGTTCCCCAGCACCACGGATGAGGTCTCGCAGATCATGCGCATCTGCCACCAGAGGCGCATCCCCGTCGTCGGCTACAGCGGCGGCACCAGTCTCGAGGGCCACTTCACCCCCACCCGCGGCGGCATCTCCATCGACTTTGGCCGCATGAACAAGGTCCTCAAGCTGCACGAGGAGGACCTTGACGTTGTCGTACAGCCCGCCGTCGGCTGGGAGTCGCTCAACGACCAGCTCGCGCAGTCGAACCTCTTCTTCCCGCCGGACCCGGGCCCGGGAGCCATGATTGGCGGCATGATCGGCACCGGCTGCAGCGGGACCAACGCCTACCGCTACGGCACCATGCGCGAGTGGGTTCTTAGTCTGACTGTCGTGCTGGCCGACGGCACCGTCATCAAGACGAGGCAGCGCCCGCGCAAGAGCTCCGCCGGTTACGACCTCACCAAGCTTTTCATCGGCTCCGAGGGCACTCTGGGCCTGGTCACCGAGGCCACGCTCAAGGTCACGACAAAGCCTGCCTCGACTTCGGTCGCAGTGACATCCTTCCCCACCATCCGCGACGCTGCGGCCTGCGTGTCCAAGGTCGTGGCTGCCGGCGTTCCCGTTGCGGCGGTGGAGATCCTCGACGACTTGCAGATGCAATGCATCAACAAGGCCGGCATGACGAGCAAGGCGTGGGCAGAGGCGCCGACTCTGTTTTTCAAGTTTGCTGGTACGCCGAACGGCGTCAAGGAGCAGATCGCGCTCGTCAAGCAGCTCGCGGCGGCGGCGGGCAGCAAGACGTTCGACTTTGCTAAGAACGAGGAGGAGCAGCACGAGCTGTGGAGCGCGAGAAAGGAGGCGCTGTGGAGCACCATGGCCGTCAAGCGCGAGGGCGACCACGTCTGGACTGGAGACGTCGCGGTGCCGATGAGCAGGCTGCCGGACATTATTGAGGAGACGAAGGAGGCATTGTCCAAGACCGGACTGTTTGGCACGATTGTCGGCCACGTCGGTGACGGAAACTTCCACAGTGAGTTTTGATGTTCAGGATGAGTGTTTGGGCTGCCTTGCTAATCTGCGCAGCGATCTTGCTCTACAACGACCAGGAGCGAAAGAGGGCCGAGACTTTTGTCCACAACATGGTCAAGAGGGCAGTCGAGATGGAGGGTACCGTCACGGGCGAGCACGGCGTCGGTCTCGTCAAGAGAGACTACCTCCCCCACGAGCTGGGCGAGACGACGGTTGATACCATGAGACAGGTAAGTTCATCCGATTTTTCAACGAAGGGAACATCTCTAACGTCGACTACAGATCAAGAAGGCCCTTGACCCTCTTTGCCTCCTCAACTGCGATAAGATCGTCAGGATGCAGCCCCCCAAGGCTGGTGAGGTGAGTGAGTGGTAGGTTGCGGCCGCATGACGAGTAACGTCTAGCTAGAGCCATGGCTGTAGGAATATGGAATGACAGACTTTTTTCGCTGGCATCATTCTCTTGTACATATATATCCCCTCCCACCAACACCCTGATGCTTAGGCGCCGCGTCTGGCGTTCGAGCACATTTGCCTTTCAGAGTTAGACCTGGAATTCCTACAATTATGACCTAAAATCGTCTCCAGTGCCTCCGCCCCACGAAAAGGAACCAAAAATAAGTCTTCGCAGCTTCATGGAAACAGCAAAAATGAAATCATGAAAGGGACGAGACTCGAACTCGCGCGGGTTGCCCCACCAGGAAACAGATGTTAAGCTGACCTTAACCTGGCGCCATAACCAACTCGGCCACCCTTCCTGAGGTTGTTGAGGTTTTCAGGGTGGTGGAGATGCCATGAAGCCCTCGCCAACCAGGGCTGGGCGGAGGGGATCCACCGCGGCGCACTAACTGCGCGACTGCATCGGTTCGCCTGAATATGTACATCTTTGGTCCAGCGAAGATGGAAAACGTGCTGTAAGACTCCGTTGGGCTTTTCTTGTGGTTAATAAGTGATACTTGTGTGACTTTTGTGTTGATTTTGGTGGTTTGGCGATACCAAAATGTGGCGATGAGAAGGGGTTTGAGACCCTCTGGCTGCGCCTTACACCACTGCACTGCGCCTTTGGATGAGTTCGAAAGATCTAAGATTCGAAGTGCTGATTTTGACAACATTTCGACAATCTCCACGAATCTAATCAAATCAAGGTAAGGTCCGTAAGTTGCTCATTCTCACGGGGAAAACGCTCCATCCATATTCTTGATATTCTGAAACTAGTCGTTGGACTCCATAATGACTACAATACAGCCCTCAAATGATTGTGAGCGCGTGACTTTGACCTTATAAGTGCATTAGATAGGATCGGGTATTATAGTAAATAGCAAATTGCGTTCTAGCTTATTCTTTAGGTGGGCTGCTTTTTCTGCTGCAAGATTGAGGTAGAGGGTGTAACAATTATTCAGGGGTCGTATTGTACTTCGTATCTGAACACACAAGTCTTGTGAGGCTTGCTGCTGTTGCTGCCCAATTTGCGGGCTGGCGAATCGATCGCAAGGCCGGTGAGTGGCAAAGCTGAAGGCGGAGGGTTTGCACAGCTACGATAGGTCAACAACAGAAATAAGCAAAACAGGAGTGACGCATGATTACTGGCTTGAAGCTCTCACCAGGCTTTTTCCGATGTACGTACTCTCAGACTTCCGGAATACGCCCCTACATAGGTGCCTCACCACCTCCAAATGCCTTAGCTTGGTCTGTTACAGAGCCGCGGGCAGAGAGAGCCTTACTGTCAGCCTGTTCTGCCCAACCACTTCGATGGTGAGTATGAATACGGTGCACCCCGTTGTTCAACACGACAACGTACCCTGATCCCCGCATCCAACCATCCAGCTATGGCGGATCCCCTATCCGTCGCTGCCAGCGTGGCTGGCCTCGTAAGCCTGGCCGGGACGATTGCGAAGCTGGCAAAAACGATGTCCGATCGATACACGGAGAAGGCTGCCGCTTCCATCCAAGACCACGTTGACAAATTGGACCGCTCGCTTGATCGTATAGACGCGAGCCTCAGAAGCCAAAGCTTTGATGGTCCCGAGGAAGAAGTCTTGAAGCATGCCGTCGAGGCGTGTACCCGAACCTTGCGGGATATCGAGAGGCAGCTTCGAAAGCTTGAAGTGAAGGGGCCTCTGCTGAAGAGCATGCGCGGGAAGCTGTCACGGCCGGAGGTCTTGCGGGACATAGAAAGGTTGCAGTCATCTCTGAAAGATCAGAAGATAACGCTTCTAGTCGCTATGCAGTAAGTCTACCACACGCTCCAAGGACTTCTTCTGTTGTCACGAGCCATCAACTTGGCTTAGTTCTCCTGCCATCATGGATGATCTCTGACTATCTCTGACAGGAACTGCTCCGGCGAGAGTCAGCATACAATGCTGCAGATGGTATTCCGTTCGATCGAAGAGCTGCGAATCAGCTTTGACCAGGAACGGAACGCAAACAAACAAATTAGACGCGGGCTTTCTTCAGCAGAAACAGACCACAATGTCAGCAAACCGGAAAGCCCGTCCATTGTGCATACCTATCCATCATTCGGGGATTGGCTTTCAACTTGGACGGATCCAGACCAAGATCAACCCTCTCAGTCGACAGCGACACGCGATAGCTCATCCCAGAGTGGACTCGTTAGTCCTGGTTCCTCATTCACGCCAAATAAGGACCTAGATGTTGAGCTCATCATTGAGGGAATCGGACAAAAGGGGACAACGAAGATCACCGCAACCAGGGATACACCACTGTATGATATCATCCATCAACTCGAGAAAGAGCCCCTGGAAAGCCGAAGTCACCTCTCTGACGATGCTCAAGGCCATGATCAAATCTGCGGGTTCAAAATCAGGGACAACGACGCCAGAGTTCCTCCATTCATTCCTCATAATACCTTGCTTGTCATTGTCACGGACGGACCGAGCTCCTACGATGCGAAAATTGGGCTGAGAATCAATCGCATGGAGAGATTAATCGACTTCTACAACGAATATCTACATGCAATGTTGAATCCAACAGCCTCAAAACTTCCCGTCGTTGAGAGAAATAAATCTCATGTCATTGTGCGCAATCCGTTGAACTCGCAACATTGCGCCAACATTACGTTCCAGAGAACCCTTCGGCTACCCGAGAATACGTTGCACTTAAGTCGATATTCTCCAGGAACACTTAGCGGCGCCTCTGAGTTCCTGGGTCCGTTTCCACTCTTCAACGTCGAAGACTACAAAGAAAGGCTCCCTGAAGAAATGAACGCAAAAGGAGGGTCCTTCTTCCCCATGTTTCAGCGAGAAGCCATGGCTATTTCCTTCCAATTGGAAGGCCGACGGGAAACGATGTCGGTCCAAGACATGGATCACTTTGCTGTCAAGGTCTTTGCTGGGTCCGTCAACTGCATCTCAGGGAAGACGGCACATGAACTGGTCACTAATGAGCAAGACTACGTCATATGTCCTCAACAAAGGAGACTAGACGGCTATAAGTACACAGATGACAAAGTCAAGCAATTTGTTCCCATGCCCCTCGGCTGGGGATACTCCGCCGAAAAGCAGATCACGGGGAAGGAGGACGTCGGTGGGATTCAACTACAAATTGCATCAAGACTCTGGGACCACGTCACGTTCCGCCGTCATGAAACTTGCTCGGAAGAGTTCTTATTGAAGAGCACCGACACTTCCTCGATTCTTGGGTTCGAAAACGGCGCTACTATTTTCATGTCGGATTGCGGCCAGCATGTCGAGCCGCCAGGAGAGCTTTGGCTCTCTCTGAGACATTGTGATGAATGGCAAGCCCACCAAAAGTCTTATCCAATGTTCTATCCAATGAACGACAATGAAAAATACCGAGCTACAACTGTCAGTGACTTGCTGCAGATGAACGGAAATCGAGATGAAACCTCCAGTATCCGCCTTCTCCCTGTCCGTTCGTTGGTAGTGCATTTTACGTTCAGCATGAAATGGCAAAGCGCATTTGGTGATCAAGTGCACCAAAGCTGCATATTTGAACAGAGTATCACATGTTCTCCATTTTTCAATCTCGGGTTCATCGTCTCGCAATGTCTTCACGATCTTGGAATCAAATGCAACCTCAGCAGCTGCAAAGAAATAGCATGCTCCGGGGATTCAGACAATACCACATGGTCATTTGCATTACGTTCTGAGTCGAGGTTTCAGAACGTAGACGCTACACGCAACTACCCTCTTTGGCGAGTTCTTTCTGATCTCAGCTTCACAGAAGACGAGCCGCGAATAACTTGCGAAATGCGGCGGTGTTATTTCAGGTTGTCACACGTCAACGCCGAGTACAACATGACCTCAACGCATTGGGACATGGGTTTTGGGGCAGGATCAGGTCTTCGACAGCAGTTCCATGAAAGCGCTGCACAGTGGGACTGGAAGAACAGCTGTATAGTCAACTTCCAGCTTTTGAGCGCTGCTGCTTTCACATCAGTGACTGGCATGTCGACATGGACTCCTGTTTCGTCTATGGAATACCAGAAGAAGCAACTCACATTACAAGTACCACTCATACAAGGAGGCACCTATCAGTTGGAAACCAGTGGGATGTCCGATTTGAAATCCATCGGCACTACAGATATCACTTCGTCGGACAGCGTCCGAACTCAGCGTCGGATTGTTACGTGTCCTCAATGCAAGATAAATCTTTGCAACATAGCGTAAGTCTCGCCAGTTATAGAAGCTCGAAAATTGTTCCGTAGGTGATTGTTCTAATTCTCTTTAGAGTTCTTCCATGCAAGCACATATTCTGCTCTGATTGCATCATCAGCCATACTGTGTGCTACCAGTGCGAAAGCATGGTGGTAGGCCAGGTTGTTTTCTCAGGCCCCATGAAAACCCCGATTGACAAATTCGTCGTCGATCCTTCTTCAGGGTTGCTTACTCCCGAAGAAGCACAAAGGGAGTTCGAAAGTGTGCCTCAGTATGAGAAGTCGGGCGTGGTCCACGAAAGTCCAGGGATCATAGCAGAGAAACTTTCGAAGTTGACTTGCGATGACGGCAGTCTGTTTTGGTTCAACTTTATTACTTCCATTTTGAAGAGAACGGAATTTCAGGTTCGGCTTCACATGGCGAAGACTCTTCTGACTGAATCAACTCGTCATGGAGATATATACAAGCTAGAGTGTCTGCTTTCGATGCTTCCAAGAGACAGCTTCTTCGAGGAAACGTATGGGGGGTTGGAACTACTCAAGGAGCTCCTTCATAACTCCCTAGAGTGCCTCAACACCAAGCCAGGACGGAGGATCGGCAGGCCAAAAGCCTCCACATGCTTAGAGGCTCTGATCAATTGGATGGAACTTGAGTCCATTGAGCCACAGCATATCTTCGATGAGGGTGTACCTATGAAATGGTGGTTGCGCCCACAGCCGGAGCAAAGCCTGTCGCGAGTCTTTGGATTTCTCAAACGCGGAGGCAAGTCACTCAGCGAATACGGTTTTGGCATCAACGACCTCCAATGGTACTCGAAAAGCTTTGCTCTACGATGCTTTCTGGGAAACAAGGGAGACTCGCATGTTCTCAGCGTGAACGATTTCTTGCTGCAAGACTTGATTCATGGCGCCAACCTGAACTCTCGAGATATGCAGGGCCGCACGGTGCTTTGGTATCCGACCACCAAGCTGAACTTGCTCCTCGACAATGGCGCTTGCATGGACATCCGGGATAACAACGGCAACACAGTTCTCCATGCAATGGTACTTCAAGAGGTATGGGATCGACTCGAAGGCCTGCTTCGCCACAGGAGCGTCAGGACGACCATCAACGCTCGGAACAGAGATTATCTCACGCCATATCACTTAGTACTGGGTGCCTATGAAAACTGGACACTCGAACCTAAATGGATGGATATAGCAAAGATGTTCGAAGAAGGAGGCGCGGATGTGGATTTGCCTATTCCTCACGGTACGTTTCGAGAAGACCTTGTCTGTCGCCTGAACCGAAAGGACCTGAAAGGGTCACGCTTCGATGTTGCGCGCAAACTCTTAAGTAAAAGTACTGCATCTGCTGAAGGCTCCCACGACTGGTCATATCATGATAGCTAGAGGTTTGGGTGGAATGTGTTGAACGTAGGTAATAGCATAACTTGAATATCTGAATAGAGTTACGAGTCTCCTGACTGGCAACATCGGTCTCCTTTTAGGTAAAAAGGTGGGGTGGCTGCCAACAAACAAACTGCATAGGCTTCGTATTCTCACGCATGAAGGAGATACAAGAAGCCATTACATTTCACGGCGACAATATCGTTATTTCAATTCCATTCACCGAAAGGAGAATCATTTTGCATAGTGCCCCAGACTCGGTTTCTGTGCAGTCGAAGCCAGAGCGAGCCGACTTTGCAAGTACCGGAATGAACATCCGTTATGTTGGGTTGGTCCTCAAGGCAGCACAGTGGCGGTATCAGCCTGCTCAACTAGAGGCATTTACTTATTCGTTCAGTATACCTAGCAGACGACAGCAATGTTGAACGACATTTCACCACGACTGATTTGAAGTTGGAGAACATCACAATAGGACACCTGGATGAGGGACCTACAGGGCTTGAACATGCCAAAAGCAGATCTACGAATTTGGTTCACTCACTGTGGTAGACCTCATCATGCATGGCAAATTCAGATTAATCGCAGTTTGTTGTTATATACCACTTTTCCAGCGACATATCCAACAGAACAAACAAGGTCAGCTAGATACCAGCTCCCTGACCGGCGTTCCCACGGCCCTGCCATCAGACATTTCATATCGGAAGCTGCTGTACAAATACCACCTCACCACACCGATATGATAAAGTCAAGGAAGCTGATTCCTACTGCTATTCTTTTGTCGAGTACCAGCATCATGAAAACATCATGAAAGGAAATACTAAATATGAACAGACATCTCTCGACAACAGCACAACCGCACACCCTGTCTGCTGCACGTATATACTTGGCCTAATACACGGCCGAGACCGACGACGCGGGACGGATAATCGACTCTCTTCCCTGCGCTGAGTTCGTCATCCATGCAACAGACAGCCGATGTGAACACCGTGCAAACTCGACACGAAGCCTAGCGCTTGAAGTCCTCACTCCTTAATTCTGGACATCGCTATCGAAAAGGATGGATTGTCCGCGCTGGCCAAGAAGAAACCAGAGCTTCAGTCAACGTGCTTATATAGATCGGGGTAGGGCGCTTCACAGCCTGTCTCGGATAGGCACATGGGATCGAGGTGGTCCCGCGTAGATATCGAACGAGAATCCACGACGAGATTGGGGAGAGTAGACATGCTGCAAGCCATCATATAAATCTGTTCCAGTATGCGGAAGATGAAAGAATCAATGCATCTGGGCCATCAGATTCGCTTCCAGAAATGAGTGCATTTCCGTCTCCCTGTTTCCCGGTGGCTCGGACATCTCCAGTCCTGTCTTCCACACAGGAACCGGCAGTGATGACATCAAAACAGCCCCGATCGACAAAACTGACAATTCACCACGACCACGGCGTGTCTGGGAAGTATACCTCCCAGACGACGACGACAGCCACAGACAGACGACGGAGATGTACCATCACTACGCCTCGTGCTCGATGTGAGAGTGACTACGATCGTTGCGGGATCCTCATCTCCTCCCTCACACTCTCTGCCTGTGATCACGATTAGATGAAGAGACGGCCGGGAGACAAAAGTATCTCTGTGGAGGAAAGGGCTGGCTGGTGAGAGGATATCTCTCTATTTATATAGATACTTACTCATAGGCTCCGTTCATTCCTCCGGGGAAAAGAAAACCACGCGATTCACAAAGTCCTAACGGTGCCACGTCTTCTTACCAATACTCAACGACATCTCAAATACCCGCCCTTCCCATCTACGAACTTGTCGTGGTGGACACAATGAAGCCTCCAGGTATCAATAACCTGCAGTGTCAAACCCCTCACATCCGGGTCGTCAGACGTCCCCAGTAACGCGGCACATGAGCGTACTCTCCCGATATGACTGGGAATGGTTGGTATTCTCGTCGCAGATGCGTCATCCGCTACTATACATCCAGGCCGTAGCCCTTTCAATGCCGTCCCTCTTGCGAGACAAATTCCGCCGCGCTGGGTGCCATAGACCGAAGCCGCGTTTTCGACAACTAGGAAATATATGTATGTGTGTTGTGTAAATAATAAGAAAAGGAAAGGGTAAAACATCACGCCGGCGCCTCCCTCTGACATAAAGAACGAAAGGTATCATCCATATCGCACTACCTCAACCGTACTGCTGCCTCAGGGGCAACCTCCGATCGAGCGTGTGAAACGCCATCGTCCGCGGCGTATATGGCACGACCCGGGGCGTCGGGGGCCCCTTCATCATATCCCTCATCTCCCACTCGCGCGCCTCCTTCGGGTCGACGGGCGAGCTGCCGTCGCTGCCCGTCGGCCCCGCGGCCTCCTCGTCGTCGCCGTCGCCGTCGACCTTGTCCCACTTGTTGGGCAGGCACGTGTAGACGGCGATGCCCAGGCTGACGAGGAAGAGGAAGAGCATGTAGACGGTGACGGCGAAGGTGCCCTTGGCGAGCAGGCAGGACTTCTTGGCCTTGAAGGGGGTGGCGAGGTCGCACGACTTGGAGATGTACCAGGCGACGTTGGAGGGGTGGCGGGGGTCGGCGTGGTCGGGCCCCATCTGGCCGTAGACGGAGACGGTGTACATGGCGACCATGGCGACGTTGATGAAGACGGCGAGGAGGGGGAACCAGAACTTCATGATGAAGAAGACGAGCTTGGTGAGGAGGAGGAAGAGGGTGATCACGGAGAGGGCGACGTTGAAGTCGGTGAGTCTGTGTGTCCGTGGATGTTAGCTAACCATTTCTTTTTTTGACATTGATCATCCTGAGAGATGAACTCACGTTCGCGTCCACACGAGCGGGACCTTGGGTAGCGGCTCATAGTTTGCGTATGCGTAGAGGATCATTTTGGGGTTCGAGTTGAAGCCGTAGGCGTGTCCGATCTCCCACATCTTGGTCCTGTACAGGTCTGGCTGGGCGATGCCGAAGAGGACGAGGATTGGGACGAGACCCGCTAGTTCGAGGGGGAATATCGCCCACATCCACGGCCTGAGAAGCCATTTCCTGTGCAAAATCTTGTATGCCATTTTGGTCGCCTTTTCTTTCTTCCCCCTTTCCGACGTAGTCGAAATAACCCGAAAGTCTGCAGTCGCGCCCGTCCGAACTGAAACGGAGGGCGAGTTCGTCTGTTGTCGACCCCAGATTAGGCTTGTCCTACTCCTTCACTTCCTCGTTGTGACGGTTGCTATTCTTGTCGCTCTTTGTCCGAGGCACAGTTGTCGCCGAAGCAAACAATGGGAGGGATTTCACATCGGTCAAGTACCAGCACTCGACTCGGAAACCCAAAGTCAATTCAAGCAAGCAAGCAAATGCGCCTTGATCGTGTTCGTTCGTATATCGTCGTTCAAAGAGGGGAAAGGAGGAGAGCAGAGAAAGAGCCGCCGAGCCCGGTTCGGGGCAGGGCGCGCAGTTTAAGGGCCATCTCTCACCCTCTTGCAGATTTCACACCGGTTGGAAGGTGACATGCCCATTCACAATGCAGCATTCAGCAGTTGAGAGGGGGGGCGAGCAAGCAAGCAAAGGTCGGTCGGTGGCCGGGTCAGCTTGGGGTCGCGCGGCATTGGACGGTTACTGCATGTGCCGTGGATGACAATCACAGCGGCGGTGCCCAATGAGGAGCGGAGGCGGGCAGAGATGCTAAGCGCCGGGATGGAGAGGGGCCGTCGATTGGTCGGCCCCCGGCCAGATCAGCCAATAGCGACGGCGGATCGCAACGGTGCGCACAATACCCGCCCGTCTTCCTGCTGGGGTGACCGGACAAGGGTCCTGGATGGCTGGGGGCCGTTTTTTGCGCAGAGGGAGGAACACAGGTGGCTCGAGGTGAGGAAAGTAAGATCAGCTTTCCGTGCGATGCTGGTGCGATGCGACTGAAGACACAGCAGGATATTCGGCATTCAGCGGCGTGATCGTCTGTCTCTAGGCGCCGTGATGACCGTTACTGTTCCCTGGAACTACTAACGTCAACGTGATAGTGTTGGTTCCGCCTGCACATCATACTTCCAAGTCGGCGCTTGCTGTGAAGTGTCTCGCGATATTATGGATCTGATGAGCGGGCCGGCGGTTGACGACCAGCTTACCGGAACGGTAGCCACGGACGGGAACAACCAGCGTCCGGACGAGGAGTTACCACGGACTTCGCATACCGAAACACACCATGCTTGTTTCTAGCTGACATCTGTCAAGATACGCAAGCTTTACTAGCGGCATCCGACGAGGTAAGGTGTCCGGCGACGCGTCGTTGGCTTATGTGAGCGACGACCCGATCGACCGGTACTCCAAAGATGACCGACCAAGATATTAATAGAGGCAAGGGCATGGAAAAGTTCCACGAGAGTGCCAGTCTGACAATCGCCTCGGATGAGCTTGACCTGCGCTGCACGTTGCAGTCTGACTGGGTGCATGTACTCTGCCTTGGTTGAGTGGCATCGGGTGAACACTATTCTTGGTATAAACGGCTGACTGCCAACCTGACAGGATAATCAGACGAACCAACCATGAGGGTGGCTCAACCTCCCACCATCGGCGAAGCAATGGTTGCGAGAATATCTGCCACAGCCGCAAGAGGACGACATATCTCGAGCCGAAACCGAAGAAGAGCTCAGCCGTGTGTTCAGATTCGCACGTCCGACACATTCTGCGAATGCTCGGCCACCTCCGAGATGGCGTATTGGTCGAAGCGGAAATTGGATTCCCATGTGTGGAAAAGAGGGAGAATCGAGATGAGACAAGGCTCCTCGCGACCGCAAACCCACTCCTCAGTGAAGAAAGAGACTGGAATGTTATGCGTTGCTCGTAAATCTCGGCTAAGAATTCCGGCGATGGGCCACTTGGGTAGTTTCTCCTTGCGTCATCAGTATCGGAGATGGGGAAAAGCCGTTCTATTAAACGAGATAGGGCTGATTAATAGTAACTCGCAATTGTGACGCACAACACTGGCACTGCGTAGGCCCTGCTCAAGGCATAAAACCCGCTGGGTGCGTCACGCCCCTGGCGAGATCGGTGAGAAGGCAGGAGCTTCGACCCTTGGATCTTGCGTGATTGATAACGTGCCGACGGCTTTTAGTCTGTGGGATCGTGTGCAACGCTCCGCCCCAGATAGAATGTGCGAAGAAAGGATATGCGGATTGAGTGTTTGTAGCTTTGTATCTCGCCAAACGAGACCGGGGCACCTCGTCCGATGAGAAAACCCGGCAGGCCGTGGCGTCCGCTGGTTGGCGCTAAGGTCCGGAGCACACGCCGGTACGGCATGTGAGACGGTTGAGGCGCTCACCAGTCCGGTGTTCTTGCAGCTGTAAGTCCATTGAGAGAAATGGGATGCTGCTCGGCTGTCCAGTCGGCTAGTCTCATCGGGGCTAAAGGCGCGAGAGTGCGCGCGCACTCCCGCGGAGACGATTTCGCGGGTGAGGAATGCGTTCCATCCCTCCGCAGACATCGAGGCTGGCTGGTTTGCGGTTGGATCTGCTCTCTCTCTCGCTCTCGAGACTCCCCGGCTCCGAAGTGAGACTTTGGGGGCTGTCTGAGTCTGACGTTGACGTTACTCTTGGCGCGAGCTGGTGGCATTCGAAGATTCAAAGGCTCGCGCAAATCGGTCGCCCTTTTGAGAAGACGGGATTGCGCGGTCTCTCTGCGCCCCGAAGCACCCCCTCCGTCCAAGAGATGCTGAACTTAAAGGTCTCGGCGGAGAGCATGCAACCGTAAATATGTGTGTTTTAGAGGCAAACGGCGCCAGGAAGGCTGGGTTCCGCCCGGTTGATCAAGTCCCGGGACATCCGCTTGTTCAGGTGCTTGACTGACTTGAGGTGGTGGTCTTGGTGGCGGTCGGTCCGCACGAGGCCGGGCAGCGGCAGCGGCAGACGGCGTGCTGCCCCCACCGCCATCGTCTGATGATAGTCGATGATTTCCAACAGTGTTCCTCTGCCTTGGGACGCAGCAGGCGAGATGAGTCGTAGTAAGGGTCCGGGGGAGAAATGGTATGCTTTTTGTGTTGATCAGGCGTGTAGGGGAAACATGACGGTCATGTAGCCTGTCCGCAACAGCCGGCACATTGTGGTGTACGGGCCTTTAGTGACGGAGGTACTCTGTACTCGACTGACAATCTTGACTGAAAGCGACGAGACATGAGCTTTGGTGCTGACCAGGCGTCTTCTGGATCAGCTGTAGAGACGGATTCATTGCTCGCTGGTGTCGAAAAGTCGATTTTGGCTTGTCATGGCAATTGTGTTGAAAGGGCGCTATCTGCGAAGAAAGAATCAGCAAGTGCCAGTGATTGATTGAGGAGGTAGCGACCACGGCAGCGACAGCAACATCAACATGCCCTGAACAGCAACATCAGCCAGCGAAAGAGTGACAGGCTGGACCGGAAAGGGACCAGTGAGACCAGGGCAGCTTGTCGATGATTAACTGGCAGGTGACGATCATCGATCGGCGAGCTCGGGGAGGGGCCGACCACGGTCTGGACCGCGCCAGTTTGAGACCGACAGGGGAGGAAAGAGCACAAGGTCTGGCTGGGGTCACCCCCTGCTGAGATTTCGAGATCTCCCCTCTTGGTGATGGTGGGGTCTGGCTATGGAAAATGGAAAATGGAAATGCTCGTGGCCTTTCCTTTTTTTTTTCCTCTTTTCCATTTTCCCCTTCCATCCACAGAAATCCCAGAAAAATCAATCCCCATTGCACTCACATTTGCGACATGATTTGCTTCCGGAGCCGTTGCTGATGACCTAATTACCGTGTGTTCTTTTTGGTTTGAGTTCATGGAATGAGGACTTTTCGTACCTCACTAGACTACTGTCAGCTATTGCCACAACTCCACGTCGGAATAGAGGGTAGAGGGTGCTTGTTTGCTGCAGGAATTATGTGACGTATCGAGTGTCTCGCCGTCGTGATACCATCTCCACCAAACAACATGGAGTCATCCAACGGCACACAGCAGAAGACGCATTCTCATGCCGAGACCGACGATAGAACAAACCTTGGCTCATCTCAAAAGTTCCTCTTGTTGCTTCTCAACAGAAAAAACGGACATGCATCGCGGCGCGCGCCGAGGCGAAAAGGCAGCAACATGGCCGCCAGTCCATGCGAGCGAGACGCAGTTGTTGCTTTTCTGTTCTGTCACAGCTGTCCCGTTCCGTCTGTAGATGACTAAAAAAAGGCATGCATTCCCGTATATGGGAAGAGAGACACGCCGGGGATTGCGAACCGTTGCATGCAAAGGCCGAGTCAAATCGACATCAGGTGGCATCCCGTGGCTCTCTCTCGGTGCAGGTATAGATACCTATGCAGTCATGGGCAGTCTTTCCCCGTCGCTCACTGACATGCAATGTCGTCTTGCGTCTGTCACTGTCTCAAGAGACGGAACCTTATGTGCCCCGGTGCAACGTAACCATTCGCAGGAGGGGAATCGTTGCTGTTGCTGTGTTTCCTACAGATTTCCATCTGTATGTATCCGTGTGCGACCGCGATATTCGCAGCGCGCATTCGAGTGGAGGGCGCAGGTGGTTCTCGAAGTGCAGTCTCGGTACACCCCCAAAACCCGCCTCATCCATCGTCCGCTTATTACCAAGCAAGGAAGCGATCATCAGGACCAAGGGTGACAATCGATCCCGTAGCTCTGTCTGGTGTGTGGAGCGTGGAGCACGAAAGCATGATGGCTTTCTCCCATCCCGTCCCCTGGTCAAATCCCATGTTTGCTCGAAGCTTGAAAGAGTTCCTTCCCTTCCATTCCCCACGTTTCGGACGGCACCCCAAAAAATCCCAGCGATCTGCTTCCCTCGTCCTTTTCTCGCTTCTCGCTTCTTGGTCATGTAGTAAGGGTTCACTACACGCACCTCCGTGTCAGTTCTCGTAAGCAAACCAAGACGAAGACGGAGGATATGCTTGGTGGGCAGGGGTCTTTGTTGCCGAGCGCATCGACGCGACGCATGAAGAGTTGACGAGCTGGGGCGGGCTTGGCCGCACCAGACGGATGACCACCACCCTATCCAGTCTACTTGGAGGAGATTAGCGTATCGGGACCCGAGATTTGCGAGCATTTTGAAGCATGGTATCTGCGGTGTGCTTGGGTGTTTGCTGGTCTATTTCTTGCAAGTCAGCCCTTTATCGTCCCTACCAATACCCAGTCCAGTGGCTTGGGACAGAGCGGACGCACGATGAACAGGTTATGACATATGGCCGAGCAGAGCCACGAGGGAGATGCCGGCGTTCCTACACCAAGGCGCTCAGTGTCGTTAGCCTGTCGGTGTGCGTATGCATCATATTGGAATACAGTTTGTTGGCGTAGGCATCGAGTCGTTCGTTCCGTTGTGTTCTGGTGTTGCTTTGGTTTTCTGGTGCGCCGCTAATTATTATTCGCCCGGAGTCGATTCCTTTCGCATAGGTTGGGCGCGAGAGAGGGTGGGGTCCACAATATCAGTGTGGTCGACCCACCCCAGCTGCAGATTTAACTGGATGAGACGAAGGACTTGGCGCAAAAGGTGGAGACACAGGGCAAAGTGGGTTTACGGATCAGCAAGACCTCGGGACCTGGGATTCTGGAGGTCTGGAGGCACCTGTGGATGCGACTTGCAGATGAAGGTCCGGCAAAGGAAAAATAATATGACAAAGATTAGTGAACGAGGGAGTTGGAAGCATAGAAAACAATCTCCCAGCTCTTATTGAATTAGTTTGCTTCACACATAGTCCAGACTCGATTACATCGTTTCCTGAGCCGGATCATCTCAGATAATTACGAAGGGATGTCGTTGATGATTCCAGGTTTCAATGCCACAAGGAAATAAGACTCGTGATAAGATCCAGAGCGAACAAAGGATCCCGGCGCCCCAAGAAGCCCCGAGATTCTAGACCCAGGTCCAAATACTACCCCTCCGCGCCCCATTCTCCATCCCGAAATGCTGAGCAAATCCTACCTCAGTTCTCAGTTCCCAAGGACAGGTTATCCTGGCTCACGAATTCAGTGACATGGGTTGGCAAGAACGGCGCTGGATCGTACGAATACCGGCGGACATTGGAGCGCATGATATACCAACCAGTAGTTTGGTTCAGCAGGCGTGACTCTTGAAGGCACCCGACCTTACACACATGGAAGGTACAATAACTACCTTACCTAGTGTCGCTAATTTGTAACCGCCAAGAGGCCATCATTCTTGCTGATGTTTCCGTCACGGGCAGCCACAGTCGGCAGGGCTACATAACATAGTACACATCTGCCATGGAGGATGGAAAACAAAGCTGGAGAGAGCGAGAAAAACAATAGCCGTACATAACAGTGGGAAACAAGGAACCGGAATTGACGGAGGACAGGTCATTACTTGGGGCTTTTCTTTTCTTACCGACAGCAACTTGACATATCTTTAGTTGTACATCTACTGGATACCTTTCCGTTTGTAGTCATCTTTCTCCTCCTGTTCCTCCTCACACCCCAGACCCTGCTTGCCTGCGTCTGCCTCCCTTCCCCTGCTCGCCTTACCTCGCTGCGGTATAGCACAGTTCATATTACTACCATTTCAAGTCCAGACCAACCAGCTGCCAAGTGCCAAAGAAGCTAGAGTCCTCCGGCCGGCCAAAGAAAGAGACCAAAAAACCGACCGAACCCGAAACAGTGCAGAAGAAGCAGAAGCAGAAACAGCTTTACAGCACCGGCTAACTAAGCTGATACGACGTCGACGTTCCCTTGCCTCGACCGCTCGACTACCGAGTCCTCTTCAACACTGAGATTACCGATTTCCCATAGTGCCTCTCGATTTCTCTCTCCCGTTTCATGCGCAGCAATCCGCCTTTACCCACCGCTCCCACGACAATTCACGATACGCCGCCGCCGCCTTTGACGAGATTTCCCGCTTGCCCTTGCCGCCGTTCAATCACCCCATCTCATCTGCGACGAGCTGCGGCTGCGTCCAGCTACCCTTACCCTTACCTCACCTTGCCTTACCTTGACTTGTCCACCGCGTGCCTCTCGCGTGCGCGCCCGTACGGCGAGCCTCTCTCTCATTTGGACTAGAGGCAAGGAACCAGGAGCCAGGAGCAAGGACCGACGGACCGCCTTGGAGACGGTGAAAAGGACGCGGAGTAAAGCTCAAGGCGGAAGCTGAGGAAGAGCACAGGACGCCAGCACGGAAGACGGAAATCCAGTACGGCTGTGGCTACGGCTACGGCACAACACACACCGGACGCAATCCAATACCGACACACGACACACACACAAGACAACACACAATCAATACCTACACACACCAAAGAGACTCCAGCACAGCGACACGGGCGCCGCATTGCATCGCGCATTGTATCGCATCTCACCCACTGTCGCCGTGCCCTCTTCTTCCTTGGCTACCCTTGACCTAAGCTCGACGAGTCCATCGCGTACGTACGCACTTTGTCCACCGCACCTCGTGTGTGGTGTTGACCAACAAGCCGACAGACTGGATTGGATTCGTTTTCGTCTTCATTCTCATCCCCATCCTGGTAAATCTCTCGCCGTCTCCTCTTTGCCTTTGCCTTCTTTGCGTCCCGGTCCCCTTTCATTCTCCCTTCCCTCCTTACCCAACTGCCACCGCCACTACGACTACCGCCGCCTACCTTACCATCTGCACCTATCATAGCCCGACGGACTGCGGCTCCTGAGGTGCCACAGCTTGGTTCCAGCTCAAGTCCAGCCCAGTCCACAGCCACGTCCCCCCAGTCACAGTTGCTGCAGTTGTCCACCCCCCGTCCAAAGTGCCCCTTGAACTTTGAAGCCTGCCTGGCCTGTCCTGGTTTACAAACGTGTGGGCTCTGGTCTGTTGTTGTTTTCTTCTGCTTTTTTTTTTTCTGCTGCAAGCCTTTCCTTTTCCTCTCAATGGCCCGAGCCTCAGCCCGTTGATTGCCTCCTTGAGGACGACAGAAGGTACCTCTTCCTTACCTTAGCACCCGCTGACTACCACCGCAGGCATCCCTACCCCCCACCTCCACCTTCTCCCACAGCGCCTGTGCCCGCTATTTTCCCTGTGCCCGCCTCACGTCCGTGCTTTTCCTCGTGCCTTTCCGTTCTTTGCGTTGGTCCCCGTCTGGTCTGGTCTGCTCCTACTGCTGCTGCTGCTGCTGCTTCTCACTGAGTGCCGCCTCACCCTCTCGTCTCCGCTGTTGCTAAAACCATCATTTTAGTTTCGGCAGGGGAAGAGAGCCATACACGTAGAGGAGCCACGAGACGACGAAAAATTCTGGTCCGGTCCGACTCTTTCGGCCCTTCACTCCTTCACCATCGTCCCGCGCATTCATGCCGAAGGGCAACGACCGATTTCCTCAACCCGCAATACACTTGTTGCCCCCCTCGTCCTCCCCGACCCTCCGACCGCATTGTGCCCCCGGACACATCCAGACCGTTGCCGTCCCCGTCCCCGTCCCCCTTCATACGAATACCACCAACTCGACTGCCGCCTTCGCCGCGAGAACGATCCCTCCCCCGATCACGAACCACACGATCAGGTCAACTGCCGCTGCCGCTGCCGCTGCGACTCCCGAGGCTCCTGCCTTTGCCTCCCCCGCCGCCTCGACCGTCAATCCCTTCCAGGACCCGGGTTTCCAGCCCAGCAACCCCCGTTACCTCCCGGCCTCGCCGCCCCCGACTACCAACATCTTTTCTCCCGACGGACAATGGACAACTCCCGATATTAGTCGGTATGGTCTGACATATAGCGCTACACCTTGCGAGAATCCCTTTGACGCCATCTCCAAGTCTCTCTTGACCCCTACTTCGGACCTCACATCTCCTACCACCGCTTCGCCCACACAACTATCGCGTCCGCGCCTCACCAGGCCACCAACTCTGCAAGGGAAGCGTCAGTCTGACGAAGAGACGGCACAGATCAGGGCACAGTCCTCGCCTTTGAAGAAGCCGCGCCGTCTTGCTCCCCCGAAAAGCATCGATTTACCCAAGCTACCTCATCCCTCGACCATCCTGGCTAGGCATAATCAGGCTGCCGTCACCTCTCCTTTGTTTTTCTCTCGCTCCGACATCCGTCGACCGATGCCCCCTCGACCGAGCCATCTCCCTCCCTCCGACGCTGCTGCCGTGCTGCTGGCTCGTCTGAGGGAGGATGCGGACGGCGTTCATACCGTTCGCTTGCCCCGTGGCACTGTTCATGCCCAGAGCTCGGCCCGATCCGGCAGCACTCCCGGGAGCAGTAGCTTGTCGTCTTCGGCAGAGGCGACCTTCTCGTCGTCGCGGAGCCCCAACAGCCAATCTGTTCCCCCGGGCCTCCAAATACTGAGGAATATTGGTGTGGTGGAACTCCTCGAGCAAGATGAGCGCCCGACGCTCATCATAGACCTCGCAAATCCTGTCAACTCTCAGAGGACAGCCCTCCACCTACTATACGCCAACGCTGCTCTCCGCGCTTCTGTTGGTGTGTTGGAACTGCTTTCCGTGGAAGGAGATCAGGCGGCAAATAATGTCGAATACATGCGGTTCAAAGCATGGGCTATGAGTTTTGTTCGGAATCAGGAATCCCTGGACGTGTGTCTGCCCTCTCACCACTATGGAGGCATTACATGGACCTGCTCTACGCTTCGCAAGCGCTTTCGCTTCGTTAGCGGGAACTTGAGCGCCGTGTCGACTGCGCCCGACTCGCCAGCGCCGCTCGCCGAAGAGTCGGCGGTCCTGGAGCAACGAAGCAGGGGTCCCACTCCGAATCAACCAAACAATGTTCAAATGGAAGACGAGCCTGACTACTTCGGCGATGCCATATCAGAATCCCCTGAGATGGACGACACGCCTCTTGGCGGCGACTGCGTCATGGTGGATAACGGCGAGAGGCATCACACCGACGAGTTTACTCAGCAGGTCTTCCAGGCGGCTTTGTTGAAACCGTCTTTCGATTGGACACGGATTCAAGTAACTGACGATCTGAACGACCACATCAAATTTGCCCGCAACATCGACTGGGCTTCAACAATGCTGGGTCCCATAGAACACTGGAGCGCGGATCTGAGAGCAATGGCCAATATGGTTATGGGTAGCCCCCACCCTGCGGCAATGTACTGGACTAGAGACAGTGTCATTCTTTACAACGAAGCCTACGTTGAGCTTGCCGGCCAAAAACACCCGAACCTTATGGGAATGCGGTACCAAGACGGCTGGAAGGAAATCTGGGACGATCTTGAGCCAATTGTGGACAGCGCTTGGGAGAACGGGCAGTCGGTCATGAAAAACGACAACCAGCTTTTTATCATCCGACACGGTTTCCTGGAAGAGACGTTCTTCTCCTGGTCCCTTATCCCATTGCTAGGCAGCGACGGCCAGGTTGTCGGGCTTTACAATCCTGCGTTCGAAAATACCCGCCGCAAGATCAATGAACGCCGAATGTTGACTCTGCGGGAGGTTGGCGAAAAGACTGCTGCAGCTAAGGACGTCAGGAACTTTTGGCCAAGAGTCAGGGAGGGCCTCGAGTTCAACGACTTGGACGTCCCATTCGCTCTCATCTACTCCGTCAAGGAGGACACTGAGAGCGAGGTGTCTTCCATGCATTCTGGCAGTATTGCGCACCCGCCTCTTTTGCAGCTGGAGGGCTCATTGGGTGTTCCCGATGGGCACCCGACAGCTCTATCTCATCTCGATCTGAAGTCATCAGACGAAGGTTTCGCGCCTTATATGCGTCAGTCCATGACGATGCAAGGAGCGCCTATCGTCCTCTCTGCCGAATCAGGTACCCTGCCAACTAAGCTGCTGGAAGGGATGGAATGGAGAGGCTTCGGGGACCCGTCCAAAACGATTGTCATCCTGCCTGTTCATCCCACTACTGCTGGCGAGTCCGTGGTCGGCTTCATCGTTCTAGGAACCAACCCCCGTCGGCCATACGACGATGACTATCAACTCTTCATCCATCTTCTTTCCAGGCAATTGGCCACCTCGATGGCTTCCGTTGTGCTCTTTGAGGAAGAAATCAAGCGTGGCCAGAGAGCCGCGCGCCTGGCTGCCTTGGACCGCCAAGAACTGCAGATGGAACTTTACCTAAGGACACAAGAAGCTGTGGAAAGTGAATACAAGTTCTCACGAATGGCCGAATTCGCACCGGTCGGCATGTTCATTGCTAATGACAAGGGAATGATCAACTTCGCCAACGACATGTGGTGGCAGATCTCAAGGCATCCAAGGACGGAGGACAGCGTCAACACTTGGATGCGAAGTGTGCGGGACGAAGACCGCTCAGGTGTCGAGCGATCCTGGAAGAAACTCATCCAGGAAAAAGAAGCAATCACAATCGAGTTTCGATTCAAATGCAGTCGTCAGAATGGGGTTAACACTATCGACACCTGGGTACTATTGAGTGCCTTCCCGGAAAGGAACGAAGATGGCGATCTGAAGAGCATTTTCGGTTGCATCACGGACATCTCGCCCCAAAAATGGGCCGAAGATTTCCAAAAGCAGCGGAGGGAAGAGGCGGTCGAGCTCAAGCGACAGCAAGAGAACTTTATCGACATTACCAGTCACGAGATGCGCAACCCGCTTAGCGCGGTTCTGCAATGTGCAGATGAAATCGTCAACAGCATTGCTGAATTCAAGTCCCACCAGCTCGACAAGGAGCTTGAGGTTCTGTTAGATGGCTGTACGGAAGCGGCCAGCACCATCAATCTTTGCGCGAGCCACCAGAAGCGTATCGTGGACGACGTGCTTACGCTGTCGAAGCTCGATTCGCAGCTACTATTGGTCACACCCGTCGACTCGCACCCCATCACGATTGTGCGACACGTCATCAAGATGTTCGAGTCAGAGTTGAATACCCACGACATTCGCCTAGAGTTCACCATCGACCCGGCGTATTCCAGCCATGCTGTCGATTGGGTCAGGTTGGATCCGTCGAGGTTGAGACAAGTTCTGATCAACCTCATGACCAACGCTATCAAGTTCACCCAAGGTCGCGAGAAACGTGAGATTATCATGAGGATGAGTGCGTCCAAGCACATCAGTGAGGTCATTCAGAAGGGTGTTTCGTTCTTCCCCACCCGTAAGGAGGATGTTAAGGCTTTCACCCACGAGAAGGACTGGGGTGATGGAGAGGAGATCAACCTTCACTTCTCGGTGCAGGACACGGGTCCCGGCCTGCGAGACGATGAGAAGAAGCTTCTCTTCCAACGATTCTCGCAAGCGTCGCCGCGTACCCACGTACAATACGGCGGGTCAGGCCTTGGGCTTTTCATCTCGAGAATGCTTGCGGAGCTTCAAGGGGGTCAAATTGGCGTCATTTCGGAGAAGGGCATAGGCAGCACCTTTGCATTCTATGTCAAGTGTCGCAAGACGCCGGCTCCAAACGCCGAGTCCCCGTCGCTCTCGGCGCTGAATCTTGCACGTCCGCTCAAAGTTCAACCGACCTCGGCGCCATCAACCCCACCTCCCACCACCCTGCCACGACGCCCATCGTACCGTAAGGCCGTCACCGAAGGACCAATACCCCTGGATGTTTTGATTGTGGAAGACAACATCGTGAACCAGAGAGTCCTCCAGAAGCAGCTCAAGAATTGCGGCAACAACACACATGTTGCTAACCACGGTGGAGAAGCTCTGGACCAGCTGAAGAGATCCCGCTTCTGGTCCGGAAATGAGGCACAAGGCTTTGACCTGAGCGTCATCCTAATGGACTTGGAGATGCCGGTCATGGATGGAATGACTTGCGCGAAACGCATTCGTGAATTAGAGAGGGAAGGGACTCTCATCTCACACATTCCCATCATCGCCGTTACGGCTTACGCGCGGCCCGAACAAATCGAAAGCGCGAAAGCCGCCGGTATCGTAAGTGCTGTTCTCGTGTTCCTCATGAACCCTCATTGCTGACACCGCACTCAGGACGATGTGATTTCCAAGCCTTTCAGAATACCCGAATTGATACCCAAGATTCAGGAGTTGGTTGCGAAGTACAAGGATCTCTCTGTGACAGCGCCCATGACCTCATCTTAAGCATAAGGCTGGGTAATTGTTCCGATTAGAGCTTGTCACCTGCATGCCATTTGGTCAAAAGCGGTCGACGAGCCCGGATCTCGGGCTCCACGGCTGGTCATCTGTTTCTTTAATTCTGGCTACCCCGTCACAAGAGGATAGCCCACAAGGCGTTCATTGGGATAAATGGCATAAAAAGACTTTGGGAGGAAGGATTGGCTTAATAGGTTTTGGGTGGGATCGGCATTTCAAGAGGGAAGCATCCGGAAGAATCAAGACTTGGAGTCTGGAGGGCGAATTGCGAACGAAGTGAACATGTGTCACGTTTAAACGAAGGGCGTTCCCAACCCACTGATGACGAAGTATTATTTTACAAGTATCTAGTTGTTCGATACATCCCTTCTTGGAGTATCGTGTGTAAAGATACCAAAGACCACTTCTGGCTCAAAACAGACCCATTTACATTGATGAATGTGACGTGCCTTTTGTTGGTGGTGGTTCGGTCCCTTAAGAGGTAGCCCCGGCTCGTGAGCACTGACCACTGAGATGCCTTACGTAATCACGAATTTTTCCCGAGCTTCAGACCTCACATCGTCAATCCTCCAGAAGAAGGTGACCAGACAGACGCCGGATCGCAGACCTGTCCTCAATCCCAGCCAAAATGAACACCCAGGCCCTGCGATCGGCGGGCAGCCGCCTAAAGCCAGACGTAGTCGCCGTCAAAACCTGCGTCCGGTCCTTCACCACCACACAATCGCGCGCCGCCGACCCCCCATCCTCATCATCCAACGACAACGGTGGTGCTGCTCCCCCGAGACGACCCTCCGGCCGCGAACGATCCCGCGCCGCGGCCAACGAGATCAACGAGCTCCTCCGAAGCGGTTCGACCTTCAAGCCCTCCGGCCTCGACGAGAAACCCAAAGTCATCGACCTCAAGACCCTCCCCTCCCGCCCGGCCGGCTCGAACTTCGTTAAGCTCCCCTCCAGCTTCAGAGGCCGCGGCCGCGGCGGCGCTGGCCTCGGCGGCAGTGGTCCAGGCTCAGGGCCTCAGCGCGGAGGAGGAGGATTCGGCGGACGGCCCTCGACCTTTGCCGGTGCCGGAAGAGGCGGCTTCGCCGGCCGCGGACGTGGAGGTCCCCGCGGCGGCGGCGGTAGAGGCAGGGGTGGCAGGGGTGGCAGGGGTGGCAGAGGAGGCGGCAGGAAAGGAGGCAGGGACGGCGAGGACTCGTTTAAGGACAAGAGCGACCGCGCCGAGGAGTGGGAGCGCTTCTTCCGCGCCGAGACCAAGGAGGAACACGCCTACTACCGCGCCCGCGACCACGGCGTGCCCACGCAGTTCAACCCCTCCGTCACGGCCGAGTCCCTCCTCGGCTTCGCCCCCGCGCTGGCTCTCGGCTCGTCCGCGCCCGCCATGCAGTCCGTCGTGCTCGGCCAGCTGCGCGAGGCCGCCGGCAACGCCATCTACGACCCCACTCGCAGGGCGCTCACGGAGGAGATCGCGACGCAGCTCGCGGACCGCGGCACGGGTATGCGGTTCTTCAGCGACCTCGGGGAGAAGGAGGCGTTCTTGAAGGAGGTGAAGGAGACGCCGGAGGAGCAGGCCTCCGTGAACGTCAAGGCCGTCAAGGCGTCGAAGCTGGAGGCCGGCGCGGAGAAGGCTGTGAGGGAGTACATCCTCGACAAGGCCATCAAGGGGAAGCACGCGCCGCCCGTGTTCGTGGACGTGACGGACAGGGATCCGATGAAGGCTGCTGCTTCGGCGCACGCGCATAACGAGTCGTATGGGGCTATCGAGGCGAGGAAGTTTGATGCTAAGCTTGCTTCGCTTGTTGCTAGGAAGCCGGCTGCTGCTGCTGTTGCTCCCGCCAAGCGCGCGAAGGCCTGATGAGGGGGGTGGTGTGGATTGTAGGACTAGGAGACTAAAAAAGGCACACGCGAATGTTGTACACTTAGATACAAGTCTCTTGTACTGTATACTACTACAGATTCGACTCTGAGGCTTGTTTTACAGAAATACCTCCTCAAACAACGGGGATCAACTTTTCTTTTTATACATGGTCATGCACATGCCCTCCGCGGGGACTGGTTGGACCAGATCTACTGGAGCTTCCTCAGGGTCTGCTGCTCGGTCTGCTCGACTACCTTCATCTCCTTGTCCTGCACCTTCTGCAGCTCCTTATCCGCCCTCTTCTTCAGATCGGGGATGATGGACCCCTCCTTCTGCCACTTGGCGTGCGTCTTCTTCCTCTTCTCGGTGACGTGCCTCATCTTCTCCCTCCACGCCTGCGCGATGTCCTTGGCCTTGCGGACGACCTCGTCCTTGTTCTGGGGCTCGACCTTGAGGATCAGCTCGAGCTCGTTGTCCGGGTCGCGCTGGGGCTGCTGGTTGAAGTCGGGGGACGCCTGGACGGCGGACATGACGGGCTGGACGTAGTCCTTCTCGTGGAGGAGGAGGGAGACGGCGCGGCCCCCGGGGCGGGGGACGACCTCGGCGAGCTCGCGAAGGGGGTAGCAGGCCGGGTCCTTGCGGTTGGGCTGGACGGAGAGGGCGCCGATGGCCTCGGTGGAGAAGCGGTCGCCGTGCTGGATCTTCTTGAGGATGTCGGTGTGGAAGGCGGCGAGGGACTGGAAGCGGGAGGCGACGTCGGCGAAGTCGAGGGGGTCGGCGGGGTCCGGTTTCGGGTGCTTCGAGCCCGGGACGTCGTCCGGGTCGGACTCGTGGTCTTTGTTGTTGGGCGTGGCGGAGTGGGACGTCCGGGAGACGATCTCGGGGGAGTCGGAGGTCGGGTAGTTAGGGGCCTTCTTCTTCTTCGCGAGGGGGGAGGAGTTGGTGAAGGCGCGGGTTGTCGTGAGGTGTGTCGATGGTGCGACTAGGCGTGCTGCGAGGGGAGCCTGGGTTTGGCTGGGAGTGGTCAGTCAATTGGAGTCTGGTTGGCGATGAAGTTTAAGTACTTACCTTCGCGACACCTGCGCGAGACCATTGACGCCTCTTAGGAGCGAATTGGGGGCTCTGAAGGCGCGCATTTTTGTGTTTGGCTATTTCTCAAGCTGTTGAAGCTTGGGAGCTTCACAGTTTGACAGGCCTGACGTGACGTCGGACGCACAGCGGAGCGCACGGTGCGGACACGGTCCGCGTTCCCACTTAAAAATTTCCTAGTCCAGCACCTTTTCTCGAAGTGGCAGAACATCTCTTTGCTGCTTTGCATTTCTGCACCACCAAAACCATGGATATCCTCAAAGTCCTGTCGCGCGGCATCAAGCAGCCCTCCAAGGGCGCCAAATCGGCAAACAATGCGCTGACGAATCTGCCCTCGGCCGGGAACCGGACGAACCCGCAACTTTTCCACGACGAAGTCCCCTCCGCGCGGGGCCACAAGAGGAAGCGCGGCAAGGAGGAGGTCGAGGAGAAGGAGGAGGAGCAGCTGCCCGAGGTCGACTTCTTCGCGCCGAAGCAGGAAGCCTCGAAGGAGGATAACAAGGCAAAGAAAGCTGAAGAGGAGGAGAAGGAGGCCGAGGCGCCCGCGGTCAAGCCGAAGCTGCTCCCCGAAGACGAGTGCCGACAGATCCTCCGCTCCCACCGACTCAAGCTCACCCTCCTCTCCGAGCGCCACAAGCCGGCCAAGGTCACCAAGAGCAAGAAGAAGAAGAAGGTCGCCGTCGAGGTGGAGAAGGGCAAGGAGACGACCCAGCTGCACCCGCAGCCCCTCAACTCCTTCCGCGAGCTGAGGACGAACTTCAACATCGCGCCGCTGCTGGCGGACAACCTGGCGCACCAGGGCTACAAGGTGCCGACCGAGGTCCAGCTGGGCAGTCTCCCGCTGCTGCTGAAGCCCGAGCTCGCGATCAAGAAGGTGCCGAACAAGGAGGAGCTGGGCGACGTGTCTCACGGCGTAGACCTGTTGGCGGTCGCGCCGACGGGCAGTGGCAAGACGATCAGTTTTCTGATCCCCGCCATCAACTCGATCATGCAGAAGAGGGCGTCTGCTGGCGGGGAGCAGGACGACCCGGAGTTATCCGCGATCGTCGTGGCGCCGACGAGGGAGCTGATTTTCCAGATTGTCAACGAGGGGCGGAAGCTTGCGCAGGGCTCCGGCATCAAGGTCGTTGGCATGAAGAAGGGGATGCGGATAGCGTCGGAGGACGACGAGGTTTCCGAGAGCGAGGATGCGGAGTCTGATGGGGAGAAGTCGGGGGATGACGAGGACGAGGACAGCGAGACGGAAGCCGCTAGCTCCAAGCACGTTACCAAGGCGGATATTCTTGTTACGACTCCGACGCTGCTCTTCAATTTCCTCAACTCAGGGTCGTCAAAGGTGCAGCGCGTGCTCCCGACAGTCAAGTCACTCATTCTCGACGAAGCGGATGTCCTTTTGGACCCCCTTTTCCGTGAGCAGACGGTGGCTATCTGGGCGGCTTGCTCGAACCCCGATCTCAAAATCACATTCTGGTCTGCGACTTTCGGATCCAACATCGAGAACCTGGTGAAGGAGATGCAGGCGGAACGCTCGTCCACAAAGCCTCTCTTTCGCCTTGTGGTCGGACTGAAGGACGCAGCCGTTCCCAACGTAACCCACAAACTAGTCTACACCGCAACGGAAAAGGGCAAGCTGCTCGGCCTGCGTCAGCTCCTGCACCCTACCGCCGGAGACGACTCCGGCCCCCCTCTCCGACCCCCGTTCCTGGTCTTCACCCAGACCATCGAGCGCGCGACGGCCCTCGCGGAGGAACTCAAGTACGACATCCCGCTCGCAGCCGGCGGCCCCGCCCGGATCGCCGCCCTGCACAGCGGGCTGTCGGACAAGGCGCGCGCGGGCATCATGCGCCGCTTCCGCGCAGGCGAGATCTGGATCCTGATCACGACGGACGTCCTCGCGCGCGGCGTCGACTTCGCCGGCGTCAACGGCGTGGTCAACTACGACGTCCCCGGCTCCAGCGCCGCCTACGTGCACCGCGCCGGGCGGACGGGCCGTGCGGGTCGCGAGGGCGGCGTCGCCGTGACCTTCTACACGACGGACGATATCCCCTTCGTCAAGAGCGTGGCCAACGTGATCGCGCAGAGCGAGAAGCAGGCGGGCAAGACGGGCGAGGAGGCCAACGTGCAGAAGTGGCTGCTCGACGCGCTGCCGAACGTGAGCCAGGCGGACAAGAAGAAGTTGAGGGAGAAGGGCGTGGAGGCGAGAAGGAGTCACGGCGCGGCTATGATTTCGACCGAGAGCAAGTGGGAGAGGAGGAAGGAGCATAATAAGAAGGGGGCTGCGACGGCGAGTAAGCAGAGGAAGAAGATGGAGAGGGGGGCTAGGAGGGATGAGGGGAGTGATGGTGGTGAGTGGGGTGGTATTGACGACTAAACTGGAGTGATGTTGTTGAAAAGTCGGTGATGGAGATGTTGGTATATACTATTCTAAGCAGGCCAAGAGAGATTCTCGGCTTTTTATCCATCATCATCATCATCATCAACTGCGTGCGAATGTCGTCGTGTATACTTATGCAGCTGTCCCAACTGTAGGTTGCTCATGTGCTTTATGTCATAGGGTCGGTGTCCAGCAAAGATGTTGCGACAGCATATCCCCTGAACTCTATAAGACAATTAGAGACATGGATGTTTATACGGTAGCTTCCTAGATGTATCATGTGATCTAGTCCTGATCATAGACGCATAGGAGCAGCGATTTCTGTGTCAGAAACATCTCGGGACGTACGGTGTATAAGAAAAGGCCACAACTAATTCGTGTGCAAACGGCCTCAACGTCTGGTGTTGGGTGAGATTCCTAACATTGATGTCACCCACGTTCAATGAGTGAGGAATTGTCAATACGGGCGCCTCAACCATGTCCATGTTTTGTCGCGATATTCCATGCAGCAGTTAAGGTAGTTCATCTTTCGGAATCGTTGTCGTCCGGTAAGTATTCCGCTGCTGGTGAGTGCACGGTTATGCTCAAAAACGTTGTGCCCGCCTGCTACTTGTAGTAATCGAGAATACTGAGACTACGATACAGCATCGAAGCTACGCTGGAGGCTATAAATTCTGGTTGGGACCTCTCGGTAGAAATGATTGGAATCCGCTTATTTAAACAGAGTGATACTTACTCACTCGACTGTGTTTTCTGCAGCGAATGCCAATGAAGCAGGTTGACCGCAGCCATTCCAGTGTTCAAAGTCTCCCCGATACTTTTCTTATCGAAGTTAGTGTTGTTTGCTCTCACCTCCAAGACGAGTTGCCGTGACAACTTACTTACTTCCTGCCGTCGTCCGTCGCTGTTGTCTTGAGGCATGTATTCTATCAGATAACAGCCTGCCTCATTATTCTGACAACATCCCTGACTGAGACCTGTTCTCCCGATCTGTGCCCACTATTCGCGCCTATTGGCGCAGAGACGTGAGGCCAGGGGCAAGCTTGGCCCGGTCAGTCATATGCTCTGCTTCCAGTGTTTGAAGCAGTGTGTAGCAGCAGTGGTGGACGTGCATTTATATGGCCGTGTCTGTCGTTTTACAGGTCACCCGAAGAGTTGCTTCAAGGCTCCTGATGTTGCAGCCTCCTGTTTCTTGGGAATACAAGGAAGAAAGGAGCCTGCGTCAAGTTGCTCCTGAGATGCAGTGGATGATCTTCCAAATGCGGCAGCATGAAGACCGGAGTCAGAATCGCCCGTACCGTCACTCTTCATTCTGTCGGAAACATGAGGAGATATCATATCTAAGGCAGAGGGCACGCCAGTACACATAGGCAACAACTTTCACAAAGTGCGTGAATTTGGTGGCCTGACCAGATTCTTGTGAACACTGGTTGGTATCTGTGATCCTGGGAACATCGCTTGACTTGGTTTGTGCCATGAATTTTGGTTCTTTCCCGTGCTGGCCTATTTCTGTTCCATCTACGTAGATGATTGACACATCGCAGCGTTATGGTAGAAGATAAGACCTCATCGGGTCGGCTCTTCGTGTTTTGAGACGTATAATAATCCGCCTAGAGACATCTCGTGTGCTGTTTCGGCTACAGGAAGATGAGGCGGGAGACAGGTGGTAGGTTCTGCTTGGACTTGCAGACAGTGGACGAGGACTGGGTCTGTTTTCACTGTTTCAAGGTGAACTCTTATTGTGGCTATTTTGATGGCCGGTGATTCATGTTACTAGCTGTCTTTCTCCATTCTTGTCCGTAGCTTATACCAGTGTCTCTGACGAAATATTACAGGAGATGGCATTTTTGGAGTACTGCCTGTGAAAAAGAAGTTTCAGACTCTAAAGACCGATCGATGTGAGCGATGTGTGCATGCTCGGCCACTTTAAGACCATCCGTAGCTTTCACAACTGCGCTCACTCACATGGAAGTATTCCATGATCTCTGGAGGTCGAAGACATCTCAGTGGTCAACGGCTGTCTGAGACTTTCGGTACTCGAGAGTCGAAGTCGGTATGGTTGACTCTCTCGTAGAACACGAGACTCCGTGGTGATCCACTCAGCTAACGCCGCCATCTGTTACTGTCGCCCGGCATGTATTCATCTCTCCTTGAGTATTCTGGGTCAATTCTTCAGCGGGATACCTCGATCCCATCATCGCCGCCGGTACCCAGCTGGAGGTACAGGAGCACGGATTTCATCTGGTGCCACTTCATCGCTGCCTTGACGACCAGAAATGCCCGTGAAGAGCGTTGCCCTCACAATGAACGTTGACATTTCCCACCAGCTGGAACAACTAGAACATGCATTTTATGCAGCGTGCAGCAACAGAGGTTTTAGCAGTCGTCTGGACGTGTTGGAAGACTCTACAGCTCGCTCGAGGGTTTGGCTCCATGGCTTTGATATCACGGGAGCAGCGTCCGGTTCCTTGAGTCCATAACCAGCGAAATGGTCATGTGTAAAGGTGCTACTGAGATGTATTTAATGTCGAAGTATCCGCGCGTGAAATTTCCGCGCCCTATAGGAAAGTACCGGCGATCGTTTCTTCTCAAATGTCATCTTGGTCTGCAAAGGTCGTTTTCACAGCGGGGCCTGGCTGTGTTGTGTCAGGCTCAAACCCGCCTCGCTTGTTGTATCGTGATGTTTGTCTGGTTCATTCGGTCAAAAGCCGCAGCCAGTCGTCTTTTAACATCGTTGTCGTCAGATGAGTATACCAGAGCTTCTGATGAGGGGAAAGGGAAAGTTCTGACGGTATGTTGAGCGTGTTCGACGTACCAGCCTCGCTCGTGCATTCGTAGGCTCTTAAACAATGGACATCCATAAAATCGATGTGGCCGGCGCAATGAGACGCTGGCGGAGAGATTCGGCTCGTTCATTTCATAGAACCGGCCTCGAGTCCTGGCGTTGTGAAGGTAACTTGAGTGGATGTTTGGTTTGGTACGGACTCTGATCCGTTTACATGAACGACTGGAAATGAAAGTATGCAGACCGGATTGAAGCGGAATCCCTGACGCTACGGCAAATAGAACAAATGTCAGATTCACGTGTGCGTTCCTCGTCAGTATTAAAGTTTGGAATGAATGATCCAAGGTCTGGTTCTAGTCATAATCGTCTTTGTCGTCCTTGTAGATAGCTTGGCTGGGCCGGGGCTGGATCCGTGATCATCCCAGCGAGTGCGAGGCTCGACTTCATCACCAATACGTCTATAGATGACGATTTTCTCGATGAGTTCCGAGTTTTTGAGACAGACGCATCGCTTCTTTTGATGATCATCGCTGTCGCTCGAGTATACAGATGCCACTACACTCACCCGATGTTATTGGACAGGACCATCCTCTCACATACATCCCGGCGAACTGTACCTTGCAGGGGACCGGTGGACAAGAAGCGTGAACCGTAGACTACTAAAATGGCAGATCCCATGCAGCTAGGCTTCGATTTGTACTTTGACAGAAGCTTTGGTTGTTTATAAACGTTATAAATGTCTCAGAAAGATCGCGTCTGGTACTCTTTTTATGTCGCGTACTGATCTGTATAAAGGGCATGCTCCAATTTCATGACAACTGAAATTGTCGATAGTTGTTGCAGTAAACTGATGCGCGTAAGCACCATGTCTACATGGCTTCCTGTTTTCGTACCTTACTTGAAGACGAGGGCAGTGAAAAAGGAAGAACTGCAAGTGGGCTTGGAACTTTTCGCTTCCATCATCCTTGTTGTCCATGGCGCATTTTTGCCCAGTGATTCACCAACCTAGGTTGCCAGGCTATGTTTAAATGAGCACATCATGCATTCAGGCCAGTAGATGCACCATATGACATAGCTTTACCATCGAGGCCATGGCTATAGACTACAACCTAGTAACAATCGGCAACTGGCCGTCAAACGGTTGAAGACTAAGTCTGATGCTCGCCCACACATATCGTCTTAAGTAGTTGCTATGAATTGGTGTTATCTCAGAAAACTCTGGAGAAACATGCTCATGATGTTATTGGTCTCAACCTAGAAGAACTTGCTGCATCCGACCGTACGACTCAGAATCACGGCCTCACTAGCAGCGACCCCGACTTGCACCTGCCCATCCTTAATCACCACGGTCTCGCCGACCGTCACGTTGTCCAGTCTCACAGGCTTACCCTCGTCAAGCTCGTAGTTGTAACTCCAGCCGTCCCACGTGATTCCCGAGATGGCATCACTGCCGTTGGCATGAAGTCGTTGGACCTTCGCCGTGCCATCTTCCCACGGCACCTCAAAGGTATACTGGAACGTTGGACGTTCGGGGGCGTCTGGGTCCGGACTGGTTCCTGTACCGCCGATGGTGGAGTTGTATGCCTCTAGGTTGATGACAAGCAACCGCGTGAGGTCACTGCCTTGGTAGGCCGCGTATGCTGACGACCGTTCGTTGTCATCAGCCAGGGGAACGTGGGCGACGGAAATCGTGTCAGATGATGGTGAGCCTGGGTTGATGAAGGCCGCAATGGCGATGTTGCCGTAGTATGGTGCCTTAGTACCTATTGACGTCGTTTCCGTGTCCACGGGCTGCCAACTTGCATACTTCTCAATGTCAGTCAAGTCGTTTATGGTGAGAATCAAATCAAACATACCCGGTAGTCGGTCCCCATATGCAAATGCACGCGTTTGATTCCGACAGTAGCAGCGTAGAGGTTGAAATCAACACCCCAAAGCGCTGCACCGAACGAGTTCGACAATCCAGGTTTGCCCTGATTATAAAGCGAGTTGTGTTCTCCCAGAATCTGCGGCGGCACGTCATCGAAGCGCGAGGTGATGTTGGCATACTCCCTCTCATGCGCCTGAACCGATTGGACACTCTTGGTGTGATTCATCAGAGTGCCTTGGAGAGTCACGCCAGGACTCTCGGCACCGCTGATGTAGTTGTGGCTAGAAAACAATACGATATTGTCGTCGGCGTTTAGGCCAGCAGCCCATTGCGCCGGAGCTCGGAGACGATTCGCGGTTCCTGCGTTTGAGGGTGCCATGAAGACCGGGGGAGGGAACTCGGGGCAGGCCTCCGCGAGTATGGAGGCGATTTCTCGAGTACCATTCAGCCATTGATCAACATAAATGGACTCGTTCCATGATGGAGGTCTGACAGGGCCTTGGGCTGAGGTTGAGAACAGGTCTGGCTCGTTTCCGTATTCCCATACATCGAGATTGTCCACGCCGATGGCCTTGCAGGCAAGCGGTACCGTTGCTACCAGAGTCTCCCATCCTTCGGATCGGTTTCCTCCTAAACCGAGATTGAAACCATGAGTGAACTTGGTGTCCGGAAAGGTGCTGTAAGATTCGAAGAAGGATGGGCCGATGTGAATGGTAGTCGGATAATCCCTAGACCTGTCGAAGTCATAGCTTCCATTGACCGCGTAAGGAAGCGATTCGTCGTAGAGGGCGTAATCTTGGGTGTTTCCTCCCACACGAATGTGCGGACGTTTACCCTGCAGATTACCCAAGTTCACCAGCAGGTTGTCCGAAAACTTGTTCGGAGAGGACTTGTTACCTAGCAAACATTGTAAGTAACCCAAATTGAACTCTCATACAATGAAGCGAACCTGCGAAGTCGGGAAAGAAGACGAATTCGAGTGAGTAGCTTAGAAAGGCATCGAAGACAGCACTGGCACTCTCGGGTCCGGGAACGGGGTTGACTGCAGACACAGCCGGCGCCAAGGCCGCAGCAGACAGCAATGCTCGAGGCCACTCAACCATCTTGATAATGGGTATGTAGGTGGCGAAGAGACACCACAGCTCGTCGCCCATGGCCGAGGCAGCAGAACTTATAGATTCGCGAGTCGACATGACGGCAGCGAAGAATTCATTCAGACATGTAAGTCGCAGGTTGTTCAACGTAGCAATAAGCTTCCCCGCATGATCGTTCCCGGCATTCACGCGCGGGGATGGTAAGGGTTTTCATGGTCGGGGTGCAGAAGCATGATGAGGAGAGCCGCTGCAGGCATGACGGCATGCAGGTCGGTAAGGCTATCAGAACCGGGAGAGATCAACGAAATGCGGCAACACAGGGTCTTCGAAGAGCTTGGCCTACAAGGAATCCCAGGTTCTTTCTCCGAGCAAGGAAGCCGAGGGCCGTCTCTCGGTGGCATGGCAAGAGCGATACTGCTGATCTCTGTACGTGATGAGTGGCAGAGGGTCAGGAGAGGCTCTCATTTGATGCTTGTCTTAATGAACGGTCCAGAAGAGATGAGATGAACGGCTGAGCTTGAGGGGCTTCAGCGTGAGTGAGACCTTATTGCGACAGTCTCATCTGCAGGGCCTAGAACTGATCTCACCATCACCAATGAATCTTGTCAAGACGGTGCTCATGTGAGGACGCATCATTGATACGACTTTCAATAAAGAAACATAAAGTTGATGAACTGGAAAGATTGGATTGAAAAGAGCGATCATGAAGTGAAGCGAGAGCTCTGGTGGAGCCTCCAGGGAACAGCTTCATGAAAGGTGCTGAGGTTGCCGGGCCGCGGACAACGGCACTGAGTAATTCTTATCTGTTAGTGATCCCGGCAGGACCACCGCCCGGCGGCTAGCTGAGCAGCACCGTATCTTAGCGAAGACTTGCCGGTCACTACAACCGGGCCGGTTGATGTAGTGGGGACGTCATCGAACGTCACTGGAATCTGCAGCATCTCATTCCTCCGTTGTCGCTCAAACATTCAACTCTCACGATAATTGCCATTGAGCCTTGTAACCGGTACAATTTTCATCTCCAACACATCATATACCTCCAATTGCCTCCCCTTCAAATCCTCATCGGACGGCAGACGTGTTTGAGCACGTCCAGGCCCAAGGGAACCCCATCCAAAGGCCACACACCTCCCCGCATCCCATCTCCGCAGTTCTCTGAGCGGCCTTGAGCTAGTCTGGAGCTTCTCTCGTCATCCATCCTACCTCGGCTCTCCACCATGCCTTTCGCGTTACAAAAAGCTGTCGCTCCGGCGTCGAGATTCGTGGCGAGAAACACATTCCGATCCGTCCGGACACCATTTATCCCATTCTCCCTGCGAGCAGCTTCAACTATGGTTCCCAAGGTATTTTGAAACGAAACCACTTCGCTCTCGGCTCAGAGTGCTAACCTTTACCTTTTAGCTTAAAGACCAATCTCTGCTGAAGCAGGATGTTTGCTACGTCAACGGCGAATGGATCAAGGCCAAGTCTGGCAAGACTTTTGAAGTAACCGGTATGCTTAGGTTCTCCCTCAATTGATCTGAACCCCGCCCGGCACTGGCTTCGGAGGCTAAATCCCGAACAGACCCCGCCACCGGCGAGAAAATCGGAACATGTCCCGAGTTCACCAAGGCCGATACGGACGCCGCCATCGCCGCGGCCTCCACGGCTTTCGAGACCTTCCGCACCAAGACGGGCCGTGAGCGCTCTAAGCTGCTGCGTCGCTGGTACGACCTCATGATGGAGAACGCCGAGGACCTTACCACCCTTATCACATGGGAGAACGGCAAGCCTGTTGCTGACGCTAAGGGCGAAGTCACCTACGCCGCGAACTTCTTTGAGTGGTTCAGTGAGGAGGCGCCCCGTATCTACGGTGACACTATTCCCTCTTCCGTTCCTGGTAACCGTGTGTGGACTATCAAGGAGCCGGTCGGCGTTTGCGGTCTCATTACCCCGTAAGTTGAAGAATCTCATCCTCACCTCGTTGAAAATACTCACAGTTTCATAGATGGAACTTCCCCGCTGCTATGATCACCCGAAAGATCGGCCCCGCGCTCGCCACGGGCTGCACAGTCGTATGCAAAGCCCCTGGCGAGACGCCCTTCACCTCCCTCGCCATTGCTGAGCTGGGCCACCGCGCCGGTATCCCCAAGGGTGTTGTCAACGTCATCACCTCCCTCGACAACACCCCCGAAGTCGGTGAAGCGCTCACTACCTCGCCGACCGTGAAGAAGATCTCCTTCACCGGCTCCACCAACGTAGGCAAGCTTCTCATGAAGCAATGTTCTGGCACCCTTAAGAAGCTCTCTATGGAGCTGGGTGGCAATGCGCCCTTCATCGTTTTCGACGATGCAGATGTCGACGCCGCCGTTGCTGGCGCCATTGCCTCTAAGTTCCGCTCTTCCGGACAGACCTGCGTCTGCGCCAACCGCATCTACATCCAGAGCGGTGTCTATGACGAGTTCGCCCAGAAGTTCGCCGCCGAAGTCAAAAAGTTCAAGGTCGGCAACGGTTTCGACAAGGACATCACCCACGGACCCCTCATTCACGACCGCGCCATTGACAAGGTCGACGCGCACATTCGCGACGCCGAGAAGAAGGGCGGAAAGGTCGTCGTCGGCGGAAACAAGCTGAACAACCTGGGCTCCAACTTCTACGAGCCGACTGTCATCACCGGCATGACCAACGAGATGGCCATGGCCGAGGAGGAGACCTTCGGACCCGTCGCGGGTCTGTTCTCGTTCAAGACTGAGGAGGAGGTCGTCAAGCTCGCAAACGCGACGAACGTCGGTCTTGCTGGCTACTTCTTCTCGCGGGATATCCAGCGCGTGCATCGCGTTGCGGAGCACCTCGAGGTCGGCATGGTTGGTGTGAACACCGGTCTCATCTCCGACCCTGCCGCGCCTTTTGGAGGTGTCAAGGAGTCTGGTTTCGGAAGAGAAGGATCTCTGTACGGTATCTCGGAGTACCAGATTACGAAGATGGTTACGTACGGCGGCATGGGCCAGCCTCTGCAAAAGTAGGGAGCTACGGAGGCCAGAAAAGAGTGATTAGCGGGCAACCCTGGGATAGGAGTTTGATTTCGTCAGTTCAATACATTCAAAGAGCGCTTCAACGCCAAAACATGATTGCTATGGCACTTGAATACGCACCCGTAGACGAACACGCCAGCCATCCAGTCATGGTGTCCAACGGCGCTTGCTTCCCACGTATTGCCTCGATTCTTGTTCTCTTGACATATGCCACATTTTGACTTCAATCTATGTATGATTGATACATCAGCAATTCATAACCTCCAGTTAGAATGTCTTCAATTCTCTGCTAGGATGCGCCAAGAGCTTACCCACTCTCGGAATTCTTACCTACCCCTACTGAAACCTTGATGTTATGTATGTTAGGTCACTCAGCTCCCCTTACTGTAGACAAGAAACGTCTCTGGTCTGTTTTCTATCATTCAACTCTTGCCACTCTCTCTCTCTCTCTCTCGCGTTCGGTTGACTGTAGGGCCGCAATAAAGATTGCTCATAACAGGGCTGTCGACGTCTCCCGACTCTGCATGATAAAAACCACACATTGGCTTGACATCTATACTACTGATCCTGGCAGCCTTTGCGTGCCGAGCCAGCATAATAATCTCGAAGGAGCTACTTGCAGACATAGGTGGGGCGTGACTTGATGCAGTGCTTCATTATATGTGCTGCATGCTACTTCGGAGACGTCTTCCCATACGAGCCAGCGAGCTGGTTACACGCTGTCCGCTTGCAGTATGCATGTTCGTCTCAATAGACTGATGCGAGCGAGCCTGCATCTCAATTCCCACAAATCCGATTCAATGAATTATTCGTCTCGCAGTGTTCCACATGCAGCTTGGATGCGTTGCTCAGCCGCTTTCGCGAGACATACACCTTACCAACAGGCGATACTGGCCAATAACTTGGATGTTCGAATGCGGAGCTGTTGCTGACCGCATTTTCTGTCATTTCTACAAGTGCATAAAGTGCGCCCTGCCTCTCGTCTTTCATAGCAGATGATCTGAATCATCCGTTTCGAGTCCATCTCATTTCAACTAGGCACGATGAGCACCGATGGGGCGACGAAGTACGTCTACCAGCAACAGAATGGCCCTCAAATATATTTCATCGAGTTAATGAACTTTCATTTAGTGTGGTGTATAGGTTCAACATCCTGTCGCGAGGCGATACAACAAGTCCAGGGCAGTTCGGGGATGTGCAAATTCTCGACTTAGATGATCAGAACACGGCAGACCAGCTTTGCGAGAGGGGCGGATGGATTCACATTCCCATAAACGACACACGCGTTGTAAAGGTGGGATCTACTGCGTTGTTCTAGAACGATCGCTATTTTACTAATGTTGATTGGCAGACATGCTTCGAGAAGTTGCACGTGGCTGGCGCGGACAGGCCCAGCTTAGAGAGCTTGAACAAAACATTTGACGACAAGCTTAGACCGGTAACACCGTTACCGAAAAGTGTCGTGCCGTCACATGCATGGCATCTCGAGCCATCATACGATGTGTATAAATTCAACGGCGAGCTATCCAAAAAGTACTGGTCGATGTTCGTGCGTATACTTGTCATTAATCTTACCGTCTTGGGGAATTTATGAAAGCAAAAGAGTTTCTAATAAGAGTCGCAACACAGCTTCCGTATTTGAACTGGGAGCGGTTTGGAACCATTCGAAGGAAATATGAAAGTTCTGAAACCGACGATCCTAGTTCTAGACATCAGCGAAGGACACTCGACCAATTCTATTACTCAAATCTACAGGACACAAAGCTCCGAGATGCGACCCAGACCATCTCCAAGTGGACTGGTCCTTTGAAGCCGGAAGAGAAAAGCGGAAGAACCAAGGCGGTCGATGACAGCCTTCTCATTATGGTAGATCAACTTTGGATCTGGGTTCTGAATGACAGTGAGTAGACTCTGGCTCACAGTTTAACAGTGCCCAGTTCATGATTTGACAACTCATTTGGGGTTCCATGGACTGACAACAGACAAGAAACGCTTATTTCATGCTGCCCCATGCCTATAACTCACCCGCAACTGAGCTCCGTGACGCCATCTGCCACAGATATCATGGGATCAGTCATGCAATCACTAGAAATTGAGGAAATAAGAGACAGCCATCAATTGGCATTTACTCTTGTATCCCACGCCGCCGTGACCGGTCTTAAGAAAGTAGGAAACGATCACGGTGACTTACTGTCTATATACGAATGGGCCATCATGGATAAGGTATGTGATAGCTACGACAAGTTACAAGACGCTGTAATCTAACGGATTTGAATTCAGGCTGCCCGTTACAGCGATCTGTACGCAGAATTTGGGAAGCAACAATTAGAAAATAACTCCGAAGGAACATTTTCCAAGGAGAAGGATACACTCCGGTTGGCACTAGAGATTGCTGACATTCTCGATGAGTTGCACATGATCGTAACGTGCCTATCGCAGCAAGCAACTATTCTTTACTCGGTTGTACCATTCTGGCACCGCTTAGGAATAGACTTACCGGACGTTCTGTGCACCGCTCAGTCGGAAATTAGGCACACGATTGAGCAAAAACTGGAGCAACAGATACGTGAGGCAAAATCAACACAAAAGTTTGTAAGTTTCCATCTAGGATCCCGGAAATCCTCTGCTTTATTCACCCCAATCTAGGTGCATGATCTGCTAGATTTGGTACAGAAAGCAGCCAGCCTCGACGAAGCTCGCACAACCACGAAGCAAGGGAACGCAGTCATGCTTTTCACAGTTGTCACTATCGTTTTTGTTCGTTACTTCCTAGACGTACTTGAGTATCTCCGCTGACACTAGCAGCTGCCTCTGTCCTTCTTTACTTCATACTTTGGTCAGAATGTTGTGGAGTACACCGGTGATGACAAGAACCCTACCATCAACGATGTTTGGAAGGCTGGAAGTTAGTAACTCTATCCATTCTCACCCTGTCCGGAACCCAGCTACGTTCTTCCAAGACTCTACTGGGCAGACGCTGACAACTTTCTGGAAACAGCTCCGATTTCCGTCTCGATCATTGCTGTGGCGTTGATCGTTGCATTTTTGATCATGAACCCTTGGCAGCTTGCTACAAGAGGAAGAAGGAGGCTTCAACGTGCTCTTTTTTGGCTCTATTATAATTGTTACTGTTGTTTCTGCTGCTGTGTTGGTCGTTCCATTTGGCGGAGGGACGACGACGTGGAACTTACACCAATGCATATGGTCATGCGTAGGTCACAAGATGTGGAATCCGGCATGGAACATCAATGACGGGTAGCAATCTCTCATGGCGAAACCAGTTTCCTTACATGATATGAGATATTCCTATTGCGTTCAGTGTTAGATTGAGATGGAGCACACGAGCAAGACGGGCAAGATGAAATCTTGGCGGCGATACCGGCTACCGTTACCAGTGAGTCCAAGAAGCCGAGATTGAGTTCCCGTGAGACCCTCAGAAATCGGGCCCTCCTCCAGAAGCCTATGTTCAGAGCGATTAACTTTTAAATTGTGACATCGTTGTCTAGTCGTTCGACGGAACAGCAACCCGATTCATAGGAACATGGAGCTGTAGTGCGCGCTGAGGGCAGCTGGAATGGTATATACAAATCCAGCGACGACGCGACGTCTTGATGTAGAACTAGTTCTCCGCGTGCGCAGCGTCGGTGCTTAGTATAGGCTGCCTGGGGGTCGACTACTGGGTTCTAACGGCTTTCCTGAAGCTCCAACAACGCAAGACAACTATTGTGGTGGGCGATTTATAGCAACCGAGACTTCATCTGTAAGCTGAGCAGTTCCAACTTGGAAAGAAGCCGAACATCGCAAGCCGAAACTAATATAAGAAACGATATTGACTCTCTGGTGTCTCCTTTTCCCAGCAATAGTTGGTAGTAGTTTTCGCTTGTTCTTAACGGCAAAGTCCTTGGGAATTATACAACGCGAGATGCACTCCTACTATGGTCATGTCACTGATTTATTTGCTTGAAGGTATATACGACAGACGATAGAGGTGGCTACTATTAGAACTAGACGTATTGACATGAGGTGAGAGAGCAGCTTGATTGCACCTGGACCAGCAAGCAAGACAGCCAGCACCCAACCGCGAGAGTCCCGGAAGGCCCTATCCACCACAAGAGAGAGGAACGCTGCTCACTTGTCCGAAGAGAGGATTCGAGTCAGAAGGGGCCAATGTATTTAACCGGAACAAGCCCGCATAGAAATCCAACCCAAAAAATGAGTACACAATCTTCGACGAAACCAGCACTTACGAACTATACGTACAGATCATACAGTATTTACCGTGTATACCAACCCATCCAAGCCATCAAACTTACATCCAACTTCTAAACCTCTAAACAAGGTCCATCGCAGAATACCATCCCGTCCACAGACTCCTCGTCCAAAAAGTCGGACCGTCTTCCGCAATATGACCAAGGCACGACAACCTCCACCGCCACGAAAAACAAGATCCTTTGCTCCGTACACTAAAGTCCCTTCTCCACCGAGCCTTGCGACTGAGACGAACGCAATTAGAACGGAACCCACAACCTTACCCACGCGAACCTCCTCCACTCTCACAAGCGCAAAGTCTAGACAACCGCCACTGTACATGTAAGAACCCACCAGTCCCGCCGAGGTCCACCTCGAAAGGCAAGAAATGTTCCGACGTCTGACGCCAAGTTGGTTGACGTCGGCTCCATTTCTTCTGTGTTGGCTGTGGGTGCTAGGTCAAGGGATTTGGAGCAGAACGTCGGCTCGGCGCCGTGGACGTTGGGCTCGTGATTTTGAGAGAACACGGGGATGCCGCACACAGGAACTAGCATACCCCCATTCGGATGGACTACCAGTTCGTAGTTTTGGAGGTGAGAAGTCAAGATCGTGATCATAACCTGACACGCCCCGGTTCCGAATAGCTTCATCCACGTAATCCAAAACCCAACTCACGAGCACTTCGCGACCGTGCGAAAGCCTCATCTTTCCTCAAAAGCCGCCAAGAACCATTAAAAGTACAGCCGAACCCGGTTCATCCATACTTCGCAATCCCCTCCATCCAAAAAGCCCTCAACGTCATGCCCTTCACCAGCCCTATAATCCCCTGGGAATCCTGCCTTCCAAGACCCCTTGCGAGCTCGAATACCTCGCCGAAAAGTACCACAACCCGCCACCGACACCGTGTAAAACAAGCAGTGACCGTACAAAGGTCACGATGACCCTCCACGAGACCTTATGTCCGCGTCCAACCACCGTTTCCAAATCCCATCCTCCCGAGCACGGTACACATGAGAGAGAGAGGGGGGAGGGGAGCACCAACCCAACGTTCATCCGTTCCTCTCAACCTGCGATCCCTCACGAGGGAACGTACTCATCCTCGTCGCTGATCCCCTAACCTCATCATGGATGAAGAAGGAGGCGACGTACGCCCCATCTACAGCTCCGCACAAACATCCGAGATCCGAGAACTCACAATCTTCATCATCAACATCTCCTTCCACTAGGGGAAAAAAAAAACCCAGTCTCATAGGTCTCCGGGATCAGGAACAAGTCGCCACCAACAAGACAAGACAAACGCTGGGTTCACATCAAACATCAGCTGTCCCCGTGACCAGCCAGTCAAACTCTACTTCCAACTCGCAGGAGCATATACGAAAACGAGGACAAGAAAGGATCCAAACGCCATCCCCCTCGTCCAGCATCAGGTACCAGTTCAGGTCAGACGAGAGGGAGAAAAAGCAGCCAGACACACACGCACGCCTCAGGTACGTCTAAGCAAGCCCGGCCGGCTGGACGGACGGACCAGACGAACCACCGATTGATCGTACGTAATCACCGTGCCGTGCAGCACCGAACTGCCGACGGAAGGCAGATGATGACGGGGTAGGTGTGATGAAAATCCGAAGCTGCCTTACCGTCAATGACCATTCATCCCGTTTCCTGAAGCAAAACCGGAAACATGAGGCCGATGATGCGACAAGATGAACGGCGTTGGACTCTTTTAAAATACCATCAGCGTAGCACTCGTTTCACGCTTGTTGGCCTTCTGGAAACCGATCTCACCTCGAGGCGGGGGTGCGCTTGGACGATGCGCCGACGGATCGACGACATGACCGTTGTCGAAACTCGCACATGACAGAACGTCAAGACGCACACGAGAATTCAAGATGGACGTATGCAGGCGGCTGCTCGAGCGATGGGACCTGAGCACAGGAACTGACTCACTGCAGTCACGAGGCAAGACGAACGGACGACGCAAACTTGACAACACGCAACGAGCTTCTATTAAGTATTATGTGAGCGAACAATCCGATATCAGCCCTAGTGGCTGGTACAGATGGTTCCATGCAGTCTTTTTCCACCAACAGCATCTCCAAACTCAAGTCTGACGATTCCTAACCACAGCTCGAGAGTAGAACCAACGCAGAAGGTCCGCCCATCCTGTCGACCCAAGGCTTCTTCGTTTTTTTGTCGTGGGTATTTTCTTTTTCGTGTTCTTGTCTGGAGCGACGGGTATAACTGGGTATCAAAGCATCAAAGCACGATACTGATAAAACAAACAAAACAAAGCAAAGCCAAACAGACAGGAAATGATTCGATAAGACTGAATGTGGAACGGAATCACCTCCCTCCAGATTTCGCCTTCCGATGCGTGTGCTGTAAAGAGGGAAATAGGAAAGGGTATCAGGTAGAACCAGTCTTTGACAGGGTATCTTGAAATGCAGATCCGATTCCCGAACAAACCCATCCAAGTGAAATGAGTTGTCACGTGATGTTGCTCTTCCTCCGGGCTCGATCCGATGCGTACAATATTTTGAGCGTTGTTTTCTTCGTGTCTGAGTCATTCAGAGCCGGACGATGGAAATCTCCACTTGCGTGGTAGGGTCTCCGAACTCGTTTGCGCACTCTATGCGGCGGCGGTAACAGGGGCGGGAGTGGAGGAAGCGACGTTCTCGGGCTTGTTCTCGGGCTCCTCGGTGGCCTTGGAGGTCTCAGCGGGAGTCTCCTCAGCGGGCTTGGCAGCCTCAGCGGCGGGCTCCTCGGGCTTCTCCTCAGTCTTCTCGAGCTTGTCCGCGGGCTTATCGGCGGCGGGCTTGCCACGGCCCTTGATGGTGGCACGGAGCTTGGAGAAAGCGCTGGTCTTCTCCTGCTTCTCACCCTCCTCGTTGTCGGAGTGGGCGGGAGACTTGTCACGCTTGCCGAAGCCGAAGGGGAGAGACGACTTGCGCTTCTCCTTGAGGTCGGGACGGGGCTCGCCGTTGGTAGCGGGGGCAGTCTCCTTGACCTCGACGGGGACGGTGCTGGGGTTGGTGACGTCGACGGCGAGAGGAGTGGTGGCCTCAACGGGAGGGATGACGGGAGCAGTCTCAGCAGCGGGAGTGATCTCCTCCTTGGCGGGGGTGGCAGGGGCCTCAGCCTCAGCAGCGGCCTGGGCCTTCTTCTCCTTCTTGCCAAAGACGCCGAAGATGGAGTTGCGCTTGGTGGGGGGAGCGGGCTTCTTCTCCTCCTTGGCAGCCTCCTCAGCAGCGGGGGCGGCCTCAGCAGCAGGCTCGGTGGTGGCAGGAGTCTCGGCAGCGGGGGCCGGGGTCTCGGTGGCAGGGGCCTCAGCGGCAGCAACAGGCTCGATGGCCGGGACGGCAGCAGCCTCCTCAGTGGTAATGGCCTCCTCCTTCTTCTCCTCCTTCTTGGACTCCTCCTTCTTGCCGAGCAGGTTGCCGAAGATGGACGCGCGCTTGCGGCTGGCAGAGCGACGCTTAGGTTCCTCCTTCTTGGGCTCCTCAACGGCAGGGGTCTCCTTAGCAGCCTCCTCGGTGGCGGGGGCAGCAGCCTCGGCAGCAGGCGTCTCAGTGGCCGCGGCAGCAACGGCGGGCTCGGCGGCGGGAGTCTCAGCAGCCTTCTCCTCCTTCTTCTCTTCCTTCTTGGCGGGCTTGAAGCTCTCGAGGGCAGTCTTGTAGGCCTCAGTCTCGGTAACGGTGGGGGCGATCTCCTTAGCCTCAGTGATCTTGAGCTTCAGCTGGGCGATCCAGTTGTCACGCTCCTCAGCGTTAGCAGCCTTGAAGGTGTGCTTGTGGCCCTTGGCAGTGAAGTGGAACTTGTTGGCGCCATCGGCAGCGGGCTCAGAGGCGTCGGCCTGGGGATGAGAGTTAGTCAACCGTATTCAGAGAGCAAGTGCCGGATTTCCTTACCAAGTTAATGACGCCCTGGGGGGCGGTCTTGTCACCGAAGAAGAAGAGGCCCTTGCCAGTGTGGGCAGCCCAGGCGGCGTTGTGGTGAGCAGTCTCGGCAGACTTCTCGGTCTTCAGGTAGGAAGACAGGTTCTTGGACTCGACAGCCTCAGATCCGAACCAGAAGAACTCCTTGGAGTAGATGAAGTTCCTGTGATTCATGTGTTAGTACGTGATACTCGCCATGCGCATCGGTTGTAGGGCTTACTTGGGGAAGTTGAGGCCCTTGTGCTCGAGAGTGCCCTCCTCGACGGGGGTGACCTCCTGCTTGACCTCCTCGGCGGGAGCAGCAGCCTCGGCGGCCGTGGCGTCAGCGGTGGTCTCGGTGGTGGTAGCCGGGGTCTCCTCGGTGGTGGCAGGGGCGGCAGCGGCAGCGGGAGCCTCAGTGGTCTCAACGGGCTTCGTCTCGGCGGCGGGGGCCTCGGTGGTGGTGGCAGGAGTGGTCTCCTTGACCTCGACGGGCTTCTGTTCTTCGGCCATTGTGTATAGGTGTTGTGGTGTTAAGAAAGGGGATTGGGTATCAAAAGGTCAGGCCGTTGGACTAGGGTATCACAATGAAAGGGCGTAAGAAACAAAGCACTAATAAAAGTACTGTTATGGTTTGTGGGGGTTGAGAAGATCTCTTTTGGAATGAGAAGATCTCTTGGGAATAATGGCAAGAAAAAAAGACCTTGAAGTGGTAGCAGAGAGAAGACGGGAAAGGGAGAGAAGAAAACGGGAGGACGAGCGGGACGCTGGGGGTACTTATTCGCAGAGGCGTGACAAGAAGCGGCTTTGCCCTTGCCAGGAGACACGGGTCCCGGTTGATGGAGGTTCACACACGGCCCAGTCAAGTCCCTGGACTGAGGAAGAGAGAAAAAAAAACGAAAAAGAGGCGTGGGCCCGTCGTGAGTGGCCCCCCGGGCTACCATGCGTAGTGCGCGCAGGGAAAGAACGGTTCAAGGAGGGGAGGTGTGTGTGTTGTAAGAGAGTGTGACTGGGCGTGGGGAGGGATGAGGGATGAGGGAGTGTCAGTGTAAGTTTTTTTGGGGGTGAGGTAAGGCCTTGGTGAGTGATGACTGGTTAGATGGAAGAGCTCTCAGTCAGGTCAATCCTAAAAAATTAAACAAAACGGAAGCCAGGCACAGACGTGGATGAGGGCGTGAGGTGGAAGGAACAGATCGAGGAGGCCAGCAAGCAGCAGGTTTACATGAACGGTGTCATACGGTATGGTATGGTTAGAGAGTTATTCGTCGAAACGGATGGAAATGGTCAGTTCAAGAGCATATCCGTACAGAAGCACCTCAGCAAAAGACCGAGGCAAGCACGAAATGAGGGTTACAGGCTGGCTTGCCGCCGCCGAAGAAAGATCGTGTACCTTCCTTCGTACGCGGCGAGACTGAGAGGCAATGCAGTTGTGTGAGGTTCAAAAGGAAGGTGCGACTCGGAGGATACCTTTTAGTGGGGGCCACTTTCCCATCGGCAGGTCGATTTCGCAGCCCTGCCAGAATCTTTCAGAGAGGCAAGACAGCAGTCAGTGTGCTGTTTGACACTGACCTGACCTGACTAGACATGACCAGCTAGCGCTCTCAGATGCAATTTGATATGTGCCTTGCCTGAGATCCTCCTCCTAGCCCAACGTCAGTGGGAACGGAGGTCAAAAAAGGGATACCTCAAGAAGGGAGGGAGACGAAAAAAAGGGTACATGACGGAGCACGTCCCGTACGGAAGCTACTTGGGCACATGTACCTCGCTCATTGGTAGAAGAGTCACGATTATGGCAATAGAGAGAGTGGGGCAATAGCATTGGTAGCTCCTTCCCTGTCGCGCTGGGCCTGTTCACTCGTTCAGTGAGGAGGTGTTGTTTGGTTATTAGTGGTGTTGCTCAGTTGGCCAGGTGCCAGCCCACGGCAGGTGCATCGCATCGCAGCTAGGATTTGATGGGAGAAGAGCTTGGCCCGTGCTGCACGCAAGCGAGTGGGACGAAATTGCAAGACCCGTCGACGACGGGAGACGAGGTAGGTACGTACCTCCACAATCAGCAGGGGGTGTTGGCAGACGAGCGACGAGCGAGCCTTTCCACAGTACGGCCAGCGTCAGGGATGTGCCTGTCTGGACCCTGCTGCTTTGCCGGGAACATGCCATGATGGATCCACAATGGCCGCCATTGCCAGACATTAGTGGCCGTCTTATTTCTTTTCTTCTTTTTTTCAACCTTTTGCTTTTTCTTTTTGTTGGTCGGTGGTCCCCTCGTTGCAGCGACGACGAATTTCGCAGACCGGAAGAAAGAAAGAAAACTCTGCAAGATGATACCCACGAGCTGAATCACCGTGGACGGTTTCGAAACACCTTTACGCGCTTGTCTGCGGCCAGCCCAGCACCCAGCAACCGTTTCGCCGTTTGACGAGGCCCGACTAACAAACTGCATCAAAGGTGGACCACGCGAGATGGCTGGGTGATTTGGATGCGCGCTGAACCCAGACCTACCAGACCTAGACCCGGGCCTGGACGACGTCCATTGGCAACTCAGATAAGGTATCCGTAACGAGGAAGAAAAAGGGGTACCACGTCCTGCTGTTGTTTTACCACCGGCGGGATGTGTAATTAAGGCCAGAAAATGGAAACGCCTGGGATTCGAGAGCCCAGTGGAAGTCGCTCTCATATCGCACTGTGGCTCAAACCACCTTCTGAACATCCAGCACTGAAAGTTCTTTCCGCTGCGACTCTGCTCCTGGTCAGGTCCTGCTCACCTACTTTTTGCAATTCCGAACTGCGCATCAACGGAGTACGGATACCGTTACATTCGATGGCCAGAAGTTGAAGCCGCGACGATCCATAGTGGATGGCTGCGAAGTGTGATGGACGGATACGATGCCATGCATATCCAGCACATGGGCCTGCAACACTCAACTTTTTTTTTCCTCTTTCCGACCCTCTTTGACACACAAGACGCAGAATATCAACACAAATGCAACATCTCATACAAGAAAGGAAGAAACTTCCCCCAAAACAGCACCGCATCAGCCTCCGTCCAGAACCTCGCGTGATGCGATGCGGCCAGCCCACGACGGACGTCATTGCACCTCGAGGGGGGTTGCCGTCGATGCAGCTCCATTCCCGTGCATTGCATGGCAGGCATTGCATGGCAACCACACGCTGGCAGCCCACCTTTTGCAACCGCCCACCATCTCGCGGCAGTGAGGAATCGGGATTATTCTCTTGAAAGTTGAGGGCTCGCCAGCAGTTTACCGATACAGCACGCCTGAAGATCAAATCCTTTGGCTGTAAGATGCCTTTCAGTGTGCCTCCCAACGGCCATGCTCGGGATTCCGTCGTTCGCCGCCGCGGCAAAACTGAGGCGATCACCGTCACCATCACCATCACCACCACCCCCTTACGTATGCGTGTGGACGATATGCGCCAATCCTCAGAGGGCGGCCGCACATGAACCACATGGGAGCGTTGTGACCAGCGGCCAAGTGCCGGCATAGGTAGCTGGGCATTCGTAACGGTCATCATCATGTCCGTTGAATGGCTGGCAAACGCCGTTTCCAACCTGCCCGCCACCATCAACATCAGCGTCACCAAAAAATGCCATTCTCAGGCTGGCGGTCGAACACACAAGAGGGAGGAAAGCCCATCTTACGGTGTCATCCTGCGACACGCGCCTTCGTCCCGTCAGGTCACCTTTTCAAAATGAGACAGAGACACGCCGTTTCGTTTACCTTGGACCAGAATCCACATACGGATACCTGACCACCAAAAAAGGGAGCCAAGGTGGTCCCCTATTTCAAACCAACCACGCCATAGGGCCACGATGGAGAAAACGGGGACTGGCACGCTTCCTGTCGAGATGTGCCGCTAGGCTCTGCTAGCTGCATCCTCTTTAAAACCATGTGACTCAGGCCAGGCACTTTACTAGGCGGGACTTGTCCTAAGCGGGTGTGTCGATCAGTCTGCGCCTGCGCACCTTATACGGAGGCTTCATTGGCTTTGGCAAGACGTCGAAATACTTCAGAACGGCGGCGAGCAGGTATCTGTACCGGTCCAGCCATCGTGGACGCTGTCCTTCAAATTTTGCGACCTGCTGTTACCACTGACGAGCCAGACTGTCAGTGTACAGCACCGTCCGTGGTGTGTCGCTCACCATCTCGATACACGTTCAACCCCAGAAGGATTACACAGCACGGACGCCCCCAGCCGCCGTTTCTCGTCTTCCATGCTCCGTATCCCTCTTGTCGCAATGCATGGAACACGTACATGCGAGGTATCAGCAATTGTCAGTTATCCAGACGTTTCGGCCTCCGCTCCCGTAGCGTGGTCTTGGTCTTGCTGATCGGATATTCTATGCGCGTCGTATCTGTCTGTATAGAGCATCTGCATCAAGCACGAGAAAGACGCGACATGGCGCCGTACTCGACCTCCTTTGCAAGTCCGCTTTTCTTGGTTGTAACTTGCGACAGCACCGTACAAGATAAACACACAAAGAGAAAAAGGAGAAGTCGTTCAAAGAAGACTCGTCTGAGGCTGGCACGATGGGGTCCCACGGTTTCCACGTTCTCTTGACAATCAGAAACAAAAAGCCGTCCGACACTGTGCGTGCCACTAAAAATCAATCGGAGATCCACCGGCCCTTTGGACTTTCAGACTCCATTCCGCATATTTGATCCAGGCGAATCCTAGTTGCCGCCAGGCCTAGTCCTGGTTCCCTCTCTCAACAGCTGCATGGGTACTGACGGGCATGTGTAGGGGGCCGCTTGCCCCTGTCTCTCATGATCAAGAAGATACAGTCCGGGATATTTTCTCGAGAGAGGAAAAGATTGGGAGACGCAGAAAAAGAGAGAGAGGGAGAGATTCAGGACCACGGTGTACTGGACTGTGAACAGGATACATTAAATCTCCTCCACCGCCCGGTCCTGAGATGCGCTCTGGAAATGGCGATCCTATCCTGGACATGTTGCGACTGGCGGCATATTGTTGGAAAAGCTCTGCTGTTTGAGCACAACATCAGTCCAGACCTGCCAAGACGCTCGAGGCTGATTCCAGCCCGCCGACTTCATCACTCTCAATGTCGAGGCTTAGAGGCGCGTCCGCACTTTCGAATATCCCCCCCTTTACGGACAGATCTCTCATCAACGAGGCTCGTACCCGTCGCTTGCTTGGGTTGAGCACCTACGGGGGGTGCAGATGCAGATGCGCAGGGACGGTAAATTGCGGCCACTGCCGAGCTAAAAATTGCTGATGGACACGGCGCTTCATTTCAACAAAGAGCCTTGAACCGTCCGAGTCGGCCACTATTGGCTTTCGGGTTTCCAGCGGCGGCGCTACCATCACGATCCATTTCGACCAACTTGCTTGGCCACGCTCGCCTGAATGGCGGTTGACATTGCCCGACTCAGCGTTTGGGCACTATTCCGTACCTTACAGAGAGACTACCTATCTACCTTTTGAGCAAGGTACGAATCACCGGCCTAACGGGCAGCGGCAGACGACCGCCCGAC